AGGTGGGATTTGACGGGGGGAGGAACTGTATGTGATGAGATGGAGATGCAAAAGTTGTGGTAGCAGAGAGGGAAGGAAGGAAACGTCTGAGAAAAAAAAAAGCAAGGAGGGAGGATGGAGTAGAGTGAGGGAGGAGATGTGTGCAAGAAGGAAGGAGGAGGAGGAGAGGGACCGGATCAGTGATCCAGAACAGTGAGCAGACAGAAGACACGAGTTAAGAGTTCGGTCAAACATAGAGCACACACACACACACACACACACACACACACACACACACACACACACACACCAAGACAGAAGATAAAGACATTCCCAAATTCTGCTGTAGGAAACCACTCACACTGGCCACCCACCGATTAATTCTTGAGACGTCTTACCTGGGACGATGGATACGGTGTCTCTCTCCCAGGACACGACGCTGACATACTCCTGCACGGCAGCAGGGATGAGGCACTTAAACACGGCTACGTTGCCCCGCATCGAGCGCTGGTCGGCCACTCGCACGGTGTAGGGCTCCCTGAAAACTACACACACACATAAACAATATTAAAATAGGCGATATATCAGGCAAAATTATTTCTCTACCCCTTTAATAGTGATGGTATGGCGAGTTGTGATGACTTAAATACTGGTTTAAAACCTTTTATGACCATAAACACCAAAACCAGAATTTTCTTTAAATGATATAAATAGTAAGAATTGAAAAAAATATGTATTATCAAGGCAAAATATCTTCCATCATATAAGCAGAAGATGTGTTGACAGCGATTGAACATCATGGTGATCTCTTCACAATGTTAGCATTCGGACAATAATCCACTCGTGTTTACATCATCAAAAACAACACATTAACACTCCAGAGCCAAACACCCTTTCGTCGGCTACCACAGCTCCCCACATGTATTCATTTGAAATTACAGGCCCACTCTTGTGTATTGTTTGAAGTCTTCTAATCCTGCCTCTGCTTTCACCATAATAGTTGAAGCTGCCATTAAGCAGGATAATCATGGAAATTATTCTATAGCTCTGGCGTGGCATCTTTGTGAAACGCCGACTGTTTTTTTCTGCAGAACTTCGCAAAGCAGACGATGGAGTCAGCAGCACATTCGAGGCAAAGCGGAGGGTTGTTGCTTCTTCCGTTTGTGCAGGTTCATGCAATATTTTACACTCTGTTGAATGAGCAGGGACTCATTAGCAAAATCACATGAAAGCTAGGACGTATCCGAAGGTTGCTAAGAAACTGGTTTGGAATCCCTTCCCTGGTAACAGACACGATGACAGTATGCATACATTCCTGCTGCAGGAGGGACACACATGCATGCGTGGAAATTTATATCCTCTTTGGATAGATGAATAGAATTTCTACAAAATGATCTGTTAAGTTATATCTGATGAACCATCACTGGTGTTGATTGGTTTGGATGTTGTTGTTTTACATGAAGCAATGATGATTTGAGAGCCCTGTCAATCATTGCTTATGCATCCATCATAACCAAAAAGTCCACATCCTGTCTGTGCAACCTGTGCACGAGAGTGGCCAGGGCCCATCAGAGGCCGCCGGCTGCAGGATGTTTGGTTCACGCTAATCCCTCGTCTCCCGAGGCCGGGCTTTTGGGTCATGTGGGAATGAAGGCAGCAACCGGCTGGCATGCAGCTCAGGGTCCTGGCTCAAATCCTCAACTTGGCGCTAGTATTAGTATTAGAATGAATATGAGTATTAGTTCAAGTCGGTGTTGGGAGGCAGAATATGAAAACAGATGTTGATGGCAGTAGGGAAGGGGGGGAGGAGGAACCGACTGGCCTGAATGGACGATGGGAAGGAGGAGGAGGAGGAATGGAAGGGGGGGCGGGACAATAGATGCAGTGAAACTCTGGGCCAGATGTAGCTTTGTTCCAGCTGTGGTTTGAAGAAACTGCTTTGGGAACATTTTCACGTTCTACCTTTGTGTCATCTGAAGAGCTGAAGGAACTCAAAACCACAGAAGTACTGTTTAACTTTGGACGAGGTCTCGCTTATTAAAGCGTCCCTCGCACGGTCTAAAGCACCAATTAGGTTTGTTAATGAGAGATAATTAAAGAAGTGTGCTCTGGCTATATTTAGACTGGCACAGGAGGACAGTTAGAAGAACGAGGGAGCAGGGAGAAGAAGGGGGACAGAGGAGAGGAAACGACGGCAACAGAAGCAGCTTCTGTTCGAAACTTTGAAATAATTGACCACCTATAACATTTACGATTGTTTATCGATTTAATCTTTATTTTGATAGTTCTAAAAATAAGTTGTTTCTCAGGTAACTACCAAATAAGTTCATTATATTTCCAAAAAGAGTCTACAGATGATTTAAGAACAGAAATAATGAAGTCAAAGGTCACTTATCTAATCTCCTCATTGTAAGGTGGTCAATTAATTTTCACACCTTGCAAACTTTAAAAAGACATTTCTCAAGTTTCCTGTTTTCTTCGGGTTTTCATCTGACCTTTTGCAAAGAACTGTCGATGAGGACGAGCTGGTAGAATGATTCAACTTATTGTCACAATTCTCGTCCTCATCTGATCTGCTACTTAGTCCTGCCGAGTCCTGCAGCCGTTGTGTTTTAGATTTCATCCCACCAGATGGTGCCGCACTGTATAGACGAAGCTGAGGGGGGGTCATGTGAGTGTAGAGTGCAGTGGTTCATCCGCAGCTCAGTCGAATAGGTGCGAGCGAGGGCCGAGGCCTGGTGTAGTATGTGATGCAGATGTTCCCTCTGTAGACTGTGTTCTAGGTCAATCTGTGTTCAGGTTGACATGGGCTATTTTAGGGCAGGTGCTTCTGTGAGCGTGGGTTGGGCTTTCTGCAGTTGTCAATCTCATCTGATCTACTTTATGCTTGACAACTGTCTCTTTTTCCTCATCGTGCTGTGATTGTTGAGTCTTTCTTTGCTCTAAAGGTCCATTCCGTCCCCGACTTACCAGCTTTGATGCGGATGTTGGGGCTCCGGATCTTGCCGGCCTGGTTTTCGGCAGTGCAGAAGTAGTCATTGTCGTGGATGTAGCTGTTGTAGGCGGAGGGCGAGAAGGGGTACAGTTGCAGGGTGCCGTTGGCGTGCACGTGGCGGATGTGCGGCACGTCGTAGATGTCATCGCCGGTGGCCAGGTACCAGCGCAGTATGGCACTGGGGGTGCCCCCTGCTGGACAGGGCAGGGACACCCCCACCGAGCTGGAGTAGGTTACCCTCTGCAGGGAGGCGTTCACAAAGTACAGCCTGGTAGAGCCCACATCCTCACTGTGTACTGCAGGGGAAAAACACACAACACAACATCACTTAGCGGAGCTGAGGTGGAGGTGAGAGGCCAGAAAGGAGCATCTGTTATATGCTGTAACACACAGAGGTGGAAAAATAAGCTAACAGGGTTAGTCTGCCATTGATTTGGAGCTATCGACATTAAAGGACAAACGATGGACAAAATGGAAATGTCCTTCAAATGTGTTGCAAAATAATCATAACAAATGTATGTCAAATGTCCAGCTGCAAACATCAGTCATGTGATGCAGAAAGCCAGGGATTTGGGCTAAAGCCTGTGGTGGTTTAGGTGGATCGGGGGGGAGGAGCCTGTTACCTCTGTACAGTGTGTGCACACATACACAAACAAAGACAGAGAGAGAGAGAAGAGAGGGAACGCGCTGATAGGTTATGTGATTGGAATTTCTATGCCAGACGCAGAGATTTAAATCTATTTAATCTCCTTACATATTTAACACACACACACACATGCATGGTCGCTCTCTCTCTCTCTCTCTCTCTCTCACACACACACGTACAGGAATGTTCTTCAGATTAAACACATACAGCTGCAGCAGAAAAGAGAGGGTGAGGAGAGGAAAAGAGGAAGAGGGGCTCTCAAATTTGGAGTCATTACAGGAAAAGATTAGAAGAGAAATACAGTGGTGGGACACGGCTGATGGACAGATGAGGATAAGAACTTCCCCTGATATTGAATTATCTAACACACCCCACTACATGGTCACCCTGATAATAAACTGTACTGATATTCATAATAAACAGAATATCAGATCAAATTAGCAAAGTTTTATTGTTGTTGAAGGAATCAAACTCACCTCTCCTGTACATTTTCTGCTTTTTGAATATCGCTAATTGAATTGGAAGCAAAAATTATATTTAATGCGCATTTCTATTATATGTAAAATATGGAAGTTTGGATATATATAATGACATTTTTGTTCTATTCAATTACATCAAATTTAATCATTTTGTGTCAAATTCTTTATTTTTTCTCACTGATATTTGAATGTATGTTTTACTTTTTAAATTTTTGTGAAATGAAAACTTTTTTGAAACATTAAAAAAAGATAGATCATAAGATATGTAATTTTTTCCACAGAATGTTGCCAAAATATCATTATCAAATTCATATTAAATTAATACAGAAGGCCTATGTATTTATAAAATAAACACTAATGCTGCATAATGATTATTTTCCTTGTTGATTAATTGATAAATCTGCAAATCAGATTGTTTTAATTCTCACAACTGAAAAGCTACAATTTGGCATTTGTGCTTGAAAATTTAAACAAACACAGACCAGGTGTCCATTGTCTTTCTGTTACTGTTCCATAAGTAAAATCAGTTATGAATAAACACATTTTTAAATAGAAAATGTTTTGAGTCCTATTCGATCCAGATCATCTGTTGTTCATCAGACTTTTCGGAGACTTTGGTTCTTTGGTTAACAAGCAACACATTCACTTTTCACAGCACAGACTAATTGTTAAGCTCACTTTGAATAGTGTCAGATACAGTACCCACAGATACAGTACAAGTTTCATTACTCCTAACTTTATTTGTCTGATGGTGATTGTGTTGTACCGGGATCATGAACACATTGTGATGAAGTCATGCTGTAGGTTTTCACATGTGCACACAACACAATGACCAGAATAGTTGTGGCAACAGAAAGCATGCGTATCAACAGTAACTGTTAAGTTTGTGATGTTTTATTGTGAAGCACTAAAACCAAACACAGGAAAAACAAAGTATTGCATTTGATCGTCCCGTGCATTTCTCTCATCAGCACCATCCAAACATTTAGACTTTGTGCAGGCCGTCTCTTTAATGAAATGTGGCTTCAAGCTGGTGACGGTGACACACAAACATTATCAAATAGAGCCTGGCAAAATCAATCATCACCACCATCAACAGGGTCACGGTGCTGGCACCGGGCTCAGTGCAGCAGATCGAAGAAAGACGCAAACCATCTCCTCCTTTCACGGCGGTTTGCCAACAATCCCATGGTTCCTCTCAAAGAAGTGTTGCTGTCCCTAGACTAAAGATTGATAAAGCTGGGCAGCATGTTACAGATGGTATATGAAAATGTGTCTGGCAGCCCAGTGGTGGGCTGCAAAAACCAGGTCAGACTCCCTCCCCTCTGCAGATTACTGATAATGGCCCCTGAGCATAAAGCCCATATTAAAGATTGCAATATCTATAATCTCCCAATGGGGGGACAGGACTAAAGTGGAGGAGAGAGGGGGTCACCCTGAGAGCTCAAGGGGGGCTGGGCAGCAGGAAAACCTCTCATACAGTAGATTATATGGCCTGGGGGCCTGGGCACCGGGGGGCTCGGCAGCACTGGGACTGATGGAGTGGGAAGTGGAATAGAAAAGGGATCAGAACAAACTCCCACCAATCAGAGCCTGTCAAAACCAGACGTGACACACACACACACACTCACCCAACAGACACACACAACCACACACACACTCCAAAAGCAAGGAAGAGACAGAGTGGGTTGCCATGGTGGCACTGGCACTTGAAAGCTGAGACTGAATAAAAAAAACAATGCAGCAATTTAACCTAACAACAGTGACCCACTGAACAATCTAAATTTAGAAACTTTAAGTAACCAAGCCCCAAATTGTGTCAGAGTGTCTCAAATATTTCCAAGAAGTTATAAAAGCAGCTGAGGAGAGTGACTATGTTTAAATGGCACAAAGATGAAAAAGAAAACAGGAACAAGTAGGCTGCCTTCTAAGTGTGTACACATTGTGGAGACAAGTGTATTTTCGTGATGACCTGCCAGTCAGTGGCGGGATGACAAGATGTGGATTCAGTGTGGTCAGGCTCAGAGTCACTGGCGCAGAACTCAACTGGCACAGTCATGTCACATCCAACTTTGTTGGATGTTTGTCTGCAAAATTTCAAAAGAAACAACTGAACTGATTTTCACCAAACGTGGTGGACGGATGTGGTATGGGTCTGATGCAGATGCAGGCATATTTCAACATTTTCCCCATTTGGCAATAATTCATAGATCTTGATGAAAGAATATTTAGGGGACTGATATCAATAAGCATGTGAACGTTGGTGCAGCTTGATTGGATTTAGGGCGACTGTGTGACTGTGCACGTATGCAATCTACTGAGTGCAGTTTTATTATTGATTATCTGTCAGTTTGCTTCACACATCTGTAATTGTCCGACAGTTCAAAAGCCAAATATAACCAAGAGTGATATAAAACTGAAAAATGGTTCTTTCTCCCATGGAGAATGCTCTAATTTCTTTCTTTAAAAAAATAATCAAATATGGCTGAAATTAATTTTATTCCAACAGATAAATCAATTGTTGCATCTCTTATTAATCTTTTATACAGAGAAATATGAAAGTTGGATTTAACAATCTTAGACATCTAAATCCCACACATGACAGGACCCCCTGTTCATGTTGGTGAGCCCACCTCTCTCAGTGATGCATGTCCACAAACGTCTAACACCAGCAGCGTGTGGACAGTGAGAAACAGCACTGACCGGCGCTGAAGCTGTGGGGTCCCTGCGTTGCTGCTGCTGATGCTCAGCTACACCCAGGAGGCGTCATCAGCCTCGTTCAGACACAGCACCAGAGGAGAACACCAGCCCTCGCTGGAAGGTGTTGGAGCACTGATGGAGTTGCCGGAGCTTAAAGCTTGTGCTGTCAGAGTTGCAGCCACTATTTTATACATCCTGCCAGAGAGCTATGCATGAATATGTATGTCAGCGAGGCAGAAGTCATAACCTATGCAAGGTTTCATCATGCATAATGCAGCTGATCTACGCCTCTCCAGGATGTGTGTGTGCACACTCCTGTGCACACAAACATGCACACACACACTTGACACTCAAAACTGTACTGTGATGAAGAGGTAAACAAACCCCAGAACCCCCAATGTTTCACATATTCTCTGTCACCCGCAGCGTCCTGTGCCTCACAGGCATAATGCCTCCACATGTTCCTCCTCCTCTCTCACCCATCTCCCTCATTTGATAAAATCATCTGCACTGTATTTCTACTTTATTTGATTTAACGTCGAGTTAAATCATTTTTGTGAGGTAAAGGTCAACAGAGACACGACATACACATCAGCCTTATGATCTCTCCATCGTCTCCTTCAGCCGATCTCTGCCCGCTGTGCTCACCTGCATCCTACCTGCCATCTCTCTCTCTCACTATAGGATAGAAAGTTTTTGATCAGGGGGCACGAGGATTGAATCTGGATACGCAAATCTGCAGAAGAGGAACGTGGGAAGGAGATGCACCATCAGAGGAAGGGTGTGAATTGAATATTGGCGGGATGCAGGGGTTATGAAGATAGGTGTAAGCTTACAGATAATCCTCAGGGGTCTGGAATAAGTAGGTGGTTGGTGGCCGGGGGAATCGGAAGGGGGGCAAGGTTGTTGGGGTTACATCTAATCAGTAAAGGGGTATCACCGCCACCCCGACACCCATCCACCCACCCGCTGTCTTTCTTGTACACCCCTGTCACCAACAATGTGCACCCCCCCCACCCCCCGCCCAACTATACCTCCCGCCCCACCCCACCCGAGGCCTGTGCTGTGTCAGTAAAAAAAAAGTGTGCTACTTCAGCAGTCTCCTGGGACCTGCTCCCCCCTCACATCAAAGCAGCCAGTTTCTCTCTTAATGTGAATATCAAATCTGTGGATCACAAGTCCCAGCACAGTCTGCATAAACTGCCCCTCCCCCAACCTTTAATTCTGCCTAGTGATGAGGGAGAGAGAGGGAGGGGAGTTACTGCGAGAAGAAGCGATGGAGGGAGGGAGAGATGGAGAGAGAGAGAGAGAGATGGAGGTAGGGAACGAGAGAGGGGGAGAGAGAGAGGGAGAGATCCAACAAAAACAACTACTTGCTTCAGAGATTTGACATTTGCTGAACGCACCCTCCCTTCCAAAAAAAAAATGTGCAGCTCCAGCATCCAATAAAAATTTGGAGGAGGTCTGGCTCAGTTTAGCATCAGTGTGCTGCTACACAGAATTTTTACATGAAAAAAAAAACCATTTACTGCTTGCCCTCGACTGGTGTTGATTTGCATCTTTGTTTGCTGTTGTTGTTGTTGTTTAAAATAATTCTTGTTTATTAAAATCTCATTGGGATTGATGGTAAATTAAAGGACGAATGGGAGAGCAGGGATGCAGTGACAGAGCTGCAACATCCTATTGGTGAGCTGGGAAGTGCGATGAGCGGCGTCTCCCTGCTGACTGTCTTACACCAGCTCACTTTACCCCCAACAACAATCTGTTAATTTGCGGAAATCAGCTGTAAAATTTTCTTTACATTGACTTTTTTTACAGAGGGGATGTAAATCAAGTTGTTTGATCATAATCTAACCGAGATTTTTTTTAATTTCATTTTTAAAATTCCAGGTCACAGACCATTTAACATACATCTTTAAACACTTGTCTCCATATTTCAAATCACATGAATCAGAATCATGTGCCCGAGCCTCTCACAGGACCAAATTAAATCCAACATCACACTGTGTAGAAATCATTTCTGCTCTAACACCTCTTATAATTGGTGTTTTTGCTTTCTTACATGTAAAATTAAACAATAGGTCTGAGAAGGTAAAATACAAAAAAAAAAAAATTGGAGGCCTGTGCCCAGCCTGAGTAATGACTGGCATCCCTGTGGACCACACAGCTCTGTCATTGAGCGGAGCCTATAGCTCAGGTTGTGGCTTTAATTGTGCAGCATTGCAAAAGGCAGCACATGGGGATTGGAGAGGGGATCTTTGCATATTTATATGTGGGGTGGGGGTGAGTGGGTGGGAGGGGGGTGTCGAGCAGAGTGTGCCAGGGTGAGGGGATCACCTTATTGCTTTTACACAGTTGTTGCACAAATATTTATATTTGACATTTAAATATCATTTCATTGAATTTATTAGACGTAAAGGTTCCGAGCAGGCCCACAGCAGGCCGCTTTATGTTGAACTGGATTTTATTCATTGATAATTAATCCTGAATTACAACAGAAAGCTTGAGTGTGGCTCTGATGTAGAAAAAAATATATATAGCTAAAAAGAAAACAGGTCTTGATTTTTTTTTAAAGATACCTCAACAAAATCCTCTTTAATTGCAATTACTGAAAGAAAGCTGAATTTATCCTTTAAACGTTTTTTTAAATTTAAATAAAAAACCCTGACTGCCTCCTGAAGCTGTGTGTCTCTGACATAATCTAACAACATTTTATAGAAATTATTTATATGTTTTTATTCTTTTAAATAATCGGATTAAATAAATAAAAGAGTGAACTTCCGGCTTGTCTCCCACATCCAAAAGTGTCCAACATTTAACAACAAATCCTTCAGGGGTGTCCCCGTCACTTCCCCTCATCCGCGCGCCCGTCAACACACACACACACACACACACACACACACGCACAGACATGCGCGATCCGTGGCACAGGCGCGCACACGTCCGCGGGGTCCAGGTGCGCTATTAGTGAGGAACATGCCCGGGCAGGTCTGTAATCTGCACCCACGCCCCTGGAGTTTCTCATTTGGAGAAATACATTTGCGCATGTTAATATGATTGCGCAGAGAGGCTCCGGAACCACGTCCTGAATTGTTACTTAAAACCAACAGCAAAATGCAGCGAGAGTTCAATTAAACGCAACAAATGCATCTAGCACACATTTAATTTCTAATTAATATTGCATTTAAAAAAAACGTAAATGTTAGAAAACGCCTGATCTTAAAATGGCAAATAGGCCGAGTTAATGGCCTGTTTTATCTCGTTTGCATTGAGCAGCCATATTCCAAATCCTCTATATATCCCAGACTTTTTATTTTAATATAAATAAATCTACACCTTCTCAAGGCCTGTTCCACAATAAGAACAAAAACAATCTGTAAACATGGCTCCTGCACACAAAGGCCTCAGTGCTCTCATGTGGAGACAGTGTTGAATTTATGTTATTTTCGACGCATGGAGATTTGCTCAGGATTATTATAATGCACTGTAATAGCAGCAGATCAACTTTGCAATAGGGTCAGGGATTTGCTGCATATACTGGACGAGAAAGGGGGGAAATGAATCCATTCAAACAAACACGCCATTTTACAATTATAAAACAGAAATGAAGAAATGAATTAAACGAGGGGGATAAATGTGGATGCCCTCATTATGGCCCTTACATGGGTGTAGACCTATTTGTGGGGAGAAAGGGGGGGGGGGTGCCCTTTTATTTCTAATTTCTAATTTGCAGCAATTTGTCTTTACAGAATGAGAATGACACGTTATTAAAATCTCATCCTGAAAAGAGAAAATAAGAGCATCCCTGCGCGCTTGTGCCAAATGCTCCATCAAAACAGCTGCAATTAGCCACAATGAGAGCATCAAGATGTTTTAAAAAATCCCCAGCATCCCTCTCTAAACTTTACAGGAGTGCATCATTTTTGAGTGAATCTGCCACTGGAATCGATCATCAATTGATATGATTGAAGGCCAATGCCTGTTTTCATTTGTCTCCCACACTCCCTCTGAATTTGCACCTCATTCTCCCCATTCAGCCATTTTACATATTCATAACTAGAGTTGGTAATGCGAAAACAATCCGTGCTATCAGCTCCATCACAGGCCGCTGCGTAAAAACCGCAAAACACACAGCCCGAAAAAAAGAGAAATACTTCACTTTTACATCTCCACTTCCACATTTGACCAGTTCAACCACAGCAGGTTTATCATTGCAATTATTTAAAGAATCAATTGCAACCAATTCATCTCCTCCATCTCCCTCACAAGGCGACAAACCCCAAGCACAAAGCCACACATTTCATTCAAAGACACGGATTAATGGTAATCATTTTGATTATGACTTTTCATTCAACTTAAAAGCTCAGCCAGTCTGCAGGATGAGGAATATTCATTTCCCGCTCCTCTTACCTTCTTGGAGAGAGTACAGCAGGAGTAAAGTTACAAGCCACATGCCATAAAGAGCAGGTATATTTCTCAGGAATGTTTGGCAATCCTGGCAAGTGTGAGGCGCGGTTCTGTGGCCGGGCGGCGAGTCTCCGTGCTGGACTGGCGACTGTGCTCCCCGGAGGTCTCTCCAGCCCTGCTGCCCCGCTAAGCATGGAGGGGGAATGAGAGGCGCCTCAGCCCCGCCCATGTCCCCTCCTCTCCTCTCCGCTCCGTTCATCTCCGCTCCTCTCAAGACCACCGTGCATACAAATCCATCCTCCCCTTTACAGCCGTCAAACACATGCGGAGCCGCGGGTCACAGCAAAAATCGGGGCGTCGTTATGAGCCGAGCAGTGGATTTTGGTCCAGTGGGATCCAAATTGCCAGGTTGCGCAGACAGATGTGTTGGCACCTTGGAAAGCGCGCACCCACCTGTGCGCCCCTGATGACCGCGTCTCTTTGCGCAGTGTGGATCTCACAGAAGCCGCACAGACAGTCACAAAAAAGCGGTTTGAGCTTTTCCTCTGAGTGTTCGGACCTTAATCACAGGGACGTGGAGCTACAGGAAAGAGTAGAAAACTGTTCTTTTTCTTTGTCTGTCGGAGCCACGAATCGCGCGTAGACGTTTGCGCACAGAAATGCACTGCAGATAGAGAGGAGGAGAGAGTAGCGGGGTGTGGGGCATGACACCTCCACACACACAGCAGGTGAAAAGAAGAAGAAAACACAGCAGGTGAATGAAAGCATTTACTAGAGATGCTTGAATTCTTTAACGACAGGGAACAACTTTCCACGTTGCTGTAGTTCCCTGTCCCGCAGTGCTCTTTGTTGCGCCTGATGTTGGAAAGCTCCGCTGCATGAGCATAAATTAAAACGGCGGAGGACCGTGAGTTGCAGGGCACTCCCAGTTCATGGAATATTTAGAGTCACTGTGGAGGACGGTTGTGGAGATGAAATGTGATCCTCATCTGACTCATCTGGTTATAGAAACAAAGCCACGTTCATGTGATTTAATCCTTAAAGGACATTTAAGTTTAATTTCGAAGAATTTTGTGCAAAAAAATGGACTGCAATAAATTCACTTGCAGAGAAAATGCGTTGGAGCACCTCTGTCACTTCTGTCTCTTCAATGATGATGATGATTATTAATATTAATAAATAGTATTGACTCTTTATTACGCACTAATTCCCCCGTGCCTCAGCCACATTAACACGTTACACAACAGGCCTTGAAAGGTTGTGTTAACTCAATCAGATGGTTTTCAGAGGCAGATTTTACATCAGCCCACAAACAGTGATAATTCTATTAGCATATAAAATGAGTGTGTGACTGGAATGCAACACAAAACTAAGAAATTATTAAGAATTTCCTATATATTCATCCGTTTAGATTCAACCCAACATTAAATAAAATGAGTCCATATAGCAATCATATGGTTCAAGTGTCAAACTGTAAAGTGTGTATGTGATGCTCAGGGTCAAAGGTCATTCACGGAGTTTGAGGTAGTTTTTCCAAATGTTCCTTTATGGTGGAGATGTTGGAGTCTCTATTAAAGCGTCTATTCCTGCACTAGAATTAAAAAAATGCCCTGAGGTCACATGTGTTTTGGTGCCATATCATTTAGACTGAACTCAAACTTTGGCAGCCTTTCAACTTCACCAACTTGAAGAAGCTCCGCAGCCCCTCACCTCCTCCTCCTGATGCTGCGCTCTGATCTGACCAGAGGTTCAGCCTCTGACTCCACGTGCAGCTGACTGCTGACATCTGCTGGAAGAACTCACAACGAACATTCCTGCACAGTGTTTTCGTGCTGTAAGAGCTTATGTTGATGTGATTGTGTTGTTCAAGTGGTGCGATGTGGTTGTAATATTTCAAAGAGGCTTTTATTGATCATAGCCCGTGAGAAAACTTCCCTGGTGGCAGCTGTGCCTTTGCTCAATATATGTGGAGATTCGGCATTGATAACAACACTAATGGCAAAATAACGCTCAACATGTAATCTGCAGATTTTATTTTTGTATGAAGTTGATTTTATGTGATGCTTTGTTTCATAGGTGGCACAACAATATCAAGATAGAGGCTGATCAGAGTGAAGAGCAGAGGATGAAGCTAAAAATGAAAATATGATCATTTACAGATATAGAGAATTAACTAATGTTGGTTTTGCCTTTGTAGGGATTGAGAATGCAATCCTTAAAGTTGAGTCCTGGTAGATTTCACAACACATGTGGTTGATGTACGAACAGGAAGTGTTATTTATTATTGTCCAAGGATGACAATTTTATGTAAAGAATAGAGTCTGGGCTTAATGTATCAAATGGCTACTGGACAAAGAATGTCAAAATTTTCATGAAATAATAAAATCTTCAGGATAATAAATATAAATGGATACTCCATTGTTAGCCTTCCTTTTCAATAAACTTGGGAAACTTGCTAGAGATTGATGTATAAGAGAGTAATGAAAATTGACACAGCGTTCGTTGAGATATCCTGACTTTCAGAGAATGGTAAAATAAACTTCCCAAAATGCATATTATCATATAATCATGGCAGACCATCCCTTACTGCAAATAAACATCTCCCAGGCTCCAGGTGGTTGTAATGCAGGCCTTAAAGTGTGTAGCCCCTAAACTGAAGCTAAAACGACCCGGAGGACACCATCAAAGCTGAAGGAGCCAAAGATGCCTCCATATGCCTGCTTTCACCATCTGAGTTGTACTTCCCATGATTAGAATATGATCTTTGTGCTTAGAATGAACAGGGTTCTAATTTACATTTTAAAAAAAATGTTCATCTCTCTTTTAAATTCAGGCCTTCTTTTGTAATGATGTGTGCTCATTCTGACCAACAGGAGGCAGTGCGGGCACTATTTCATATACAAACACCAAGACAGAGGAGATTTTATTCCAAACTTTTATTAGATTTCCAGTTTTTATAATAAAGAGATCGAGAGCTGATGTGCACGGATGAGAGGATGAAAATGGGGACATCATTGAGGATGAGCAGAGCATTATAGCTATATATTCGTGTGCAGAGAGCAGCAGTGGAGCATGACTTTTACACCACAGGGGTCCGATCGAGTACAGGGGGTTTCCTCTCCATGCTCCTCTCTGGATGCTCCCCATTCTCCCTGCATCCCATCATCACAACTGACTCCGATCCTACAGTTGTATTGCTTACGGCCCGTTACAGTAACTGGAAGGTGCAGTGTGAGAAACAAGGGATTCACTTCTGTTGAGATTTGCATAGTCATCGTAAGGCCCACTGATCCACTGATCTCTTTATCCATTCATAGATTCAGAAACAAAGCACTGTTTTCTTACTAAGTCTTATTAGACAACAACTGACAGAGATTAGTGAGAGAAAACCCAACCTTTTACAGTTCAAACAAGTTATTGAATTCTTAATTTGAATTATTTGGTTTTATGATCCAGGCAAAATATATCCTCTTGATTCCAGAGTCACAACAAAAGCCTGACTTCATAGCTCTGCTCGAGGGAGGATTTTCTCTTTAAAGCCAAACAGCACAAATATGACAGATGTATATTACCCATAACATTCATTATGTATGTACCTGCAATATCTTTCTAAAAGAGCCCATGAAACAGGCTGATGAGGTCATTCAAGCGTTTGCAGGAATTTAACTCTGACTTTTTGTCAGTCCTATCAGATCAAACTACAGCTGACCTGGGATCATTGCACTGCATAAATATCCTCACCTGTAACTGTGACATTTGAACTCTACAGTCATACTTTACAAACATTCAAATTGTACATATCTGACATTCATATTAGTGTTTAGAATATTCACATATTTTTATGTTTCTATATGTATGCTTATGCACAAACATACTACAGCATATTCCTTGTATTCCTACTTAGCGACAAACCAAGTTTGTGAGTCTGATTCTGTTTTCCACGATTAACTCATGAAAACGTTTTACATAAGAAAATCATATTTTTCTTTCTTACTGATCTTTAGATGAGCGGCATCAGACGCTGTTTCAACAACAAGTACATCAAATTGATTAAACATACCATTTCATGGGATTTTATTGGAATTGGAATTCACTCTTTGCTCGTGTTTGCTGTTTGGTTTCTTTTTGCCTCATTTGGATGAACAATTTGACAAACCAACACTGACTTGGATCACATACACACAAAAATATATAACTATTTAAAGTGCCTGACACACCCCCTGTATAATATATTGCTTCACGCCTGTGATTCAAGAGTGGAGGCACGTTATTATTATTAAAACGTAACAAAGAGTCTCATGAAATCATCAGAAACAGTACATATCTGAGCTGACACTGTGTTTAGCCACACATCTGTCCCACTCCCCAGAGGTATTTCTTTTTTAAAGCCAGACACTCAGTGTCTCGAATGATGCAAATGCAGCTTCAAATGATATTTCACTGTTCGATGCAGGTACATTCATCTCCTGAGGTGATGCACAGTAGAAATCATCACTGTTTGGCACAGTCAGTGGCTACACCGGGAGCATCGCTTCTCTTATTTCCTGCTGGAACAGGGTTTATGCTTGAACTACATCCCCCTACTCATCCTGCCCTCCCAGACCTGATCATGCATGATAATTTAAACCATGAAGACCTAGTGCAGTGTGCACACCAGACACCAGAATGGTTTCTTATCTCCATTTAAGAGCGTGCTCTTCCATTTTGACAGTTGGACTTACTGATTTCACATTCAGATTGTGCAACACTCTCACTCAAAACCCTGCGATCGCACCCAAATATCTCCTGCTTGTGTTTAGATTACCAGCTTCAGCTCTTCTCCTCACCCTCACGTTGCTTCTATGTGCAACTGAAACGTCTGCTCTCTGATTTCTCCTCTGCTGGAGCACAGGAACAAGCATTGGATATTTGAGTGCAAGCGAAGGGTTTTGAGAAAGAGCATTAGAAAATCTGAACAAGAAAAAGTCCTGGTCTCAAACTGAAAAACCACATTTTCTAATACAGACAGGAAAAACTAAATTCCATTCTGGTTTCCCAGCTGTGCACACAGCATTAGATCTTCATGGTTAAAATGATCACGTATGAAAAACCCCCAAAAACCAGTTCTATCTATCAGCAGATAAGGATTATTTATTGCAAAGAATAAAACACTGACCAAATGAACATTTGTCAGTGTTCAAGATAAACAAGCCATTTCCATGAAGAGGCACATACTAAGCAGAGATAATATGTAGAGCCTGATCCAGGCACAGCTAAAAGAGGTCCACGTCCATATAGTGCTTAGCCTTAGTGAGGGTTAGCACAATGGAAGTAGCATGGCATTAAATGGGATTAACAGTTAACCTCAGCGCAGACGCTACTGGTGTTAATATATTACAACACGTTTTTTTCCCAAAAGGTATGAACGTCTGTTGTCAAGCACTGTATGTATCTAAATTCTGCCCCATGTTGCACATGCTCAGAATGCATTGGTTATTTGTGTTAAAGCAGCATTGTCAGAGGGTCATTCTCTGATCTAAAGGTTGGGGAGATTGATTCAAGGGATTGTCTATGGTTTCGTTTAAGAGGCTGGCTGTGTTATTACTGTCTGCTGAGTTTTATAAAGTGTGGAGCAATATGTCGTCGTCCTCGCTGACAGAGGAGCATCAGAAGCACTAACAGGCACCTGTGTTTATATCAAGCAAAGAGAAGGTACAAGATGAAGAACCAGGCTGAATCCTACAATGGGTTTCTTTTGTCAATATAGCCTATGTGCTACGTCTTTACATTTACTTCACTAGTTTTGAATAAATCACACATTATACTGGGTGTTTTGTGGAAAGTACAAATCGATCAGTAGATCTGTCAAGTAGAGTTGCTTGAAATTATAGCACATCACAAATATTGATTTAGATTTTAGTCTATTGTGAATTTGTTAGTTATTAAATCAGGATTCAGCCCAGTACTCTATTTAAAGAGTTAATTATTTTTTACCTCTTCTGCTCTGCTGACCAATCTTTTTTTCTGTTACACTGATAATCTCTGTAGATGACTTAAAACTGAATCAGTTGCTCCTCACTTTTTCCAGAATTTTTCCAGCCAGAGTAAAATGTCAGAGAGAGCGCATGTGAGAACACAGCACAAAAATGTCACAAAATTTCACAGCAAGTGAGTGTGTTAATGACAGACGCAAAAATGAAAAAAAAATCAAATATCACAGGATGAAGTTTTTTTTTCTTCATAAGACGCTGACGAAATTGAAAAATTAGGAAAGACGAGATACAAGTGGATTTTACACGTCACGTCCTCCCTTCTTCATGCCCTCCCCTAGCGTCACCCCTCAATTGAATGTTCCAAACATTTTTCTGTTTTTGTGAACACATCTGAGAAACGTAAACGAAAAGTGAAAATGAGTGTGAGTATGTCAACTTCAAACAGAATTTCATGATTTGTCTTAGAAACATTTGAGTCTGTGGATCAATAATGTTATCCCCCACCATTATGTGGCCCTATGGGACGAACAACATTGACCACCACTGACACCAATCAACAACAGAAAGCCTTTAAAACAGCCCAAACACTGGGGTTTGTTAATATCAAACAACACAATACACACGATGTCAAATCCCAGGCTGAGGCCCAGCAGAACCAGGAGTCTGCACACAGGAAGCCTCCCTTCTAATCCTGACACAGGAGTTTTTAAAGAATCTTCATTCACTGGCCAAGTGCACCTCATTGATGACTGATCGGTTAAATCAGGGTGGATCTAAATAAGGCGAACACATTTATTAATTTTAGCCTCTCGGTAAAGGATTTGCTGTTTTTATTAGTTAACGTTGATCAATCTGAAATCAATATTTTGAGGATTTGAACTAAACTTCAGACACAACATGGAATTCGAATTAGTCTGTATCCCACTGGTGTCTATTTTTCGATGTTTCATACTCTAGACGATGAGTCATTCAAACAAAAAATAATCGAATTAAACTGTAATGAAAACCATTGATCATTGTTCCCCTAAATGTGTAAATACAACAATCTGTTCTGTGGTTACTCCATGAACAACTTAATATTTAAGCAGCTCTGGCTCCACCGGCCCTCGTGGCCTCAGTGTGATGTAACAGATCGATCCCAATCAATGAGGCCGTGTTTGTGTTTGTGATCATCGACGTTGAGACGATGTGAAGCTTTGATCCCGGTGAGAAAATAAAACCCAGACCTTGCATGTGTCGACTGTGTATTGATCCTCACAGCACAGATATCAATTGACCTTCATATTGTATATTCATATCATCTGCTGCAACACTTTATGGTTCATATAGTTAATGGATTGTTTCTGATGTGTTAGGACCTAAATGAGCGTTTCACAAATCTATTTGTTTATTGATGAAAGGGCAGGAATCCTGCAGGTCAATGAAACAAAACTTTATCATGCATTAAGAGTGAACAATGCAGTTGAGCGTAGAAGGGTGCAGTTGAAATTTTAAAAGATCTCAAAGCCTAAAGAGCTGCTGAACCTTCAGTCGCAAATACAAACATTATTCTTTTATTCTCCCTTCCCTCCCTCACCAATCATCATCTTTCCTGTCTTCCTTTACTTGGAAGAGCTTCTGCTACTCATGAGAGACCCAGTAGGCCTTCCATTCATCTTAGTGGTGTGTTCATGTGTGCACGTAGGGTATCATTACTCAGTCCCTGGGCAAATTATCAATGCTTGTTGTTGTACTATAGGATGCTAGAGAAGTGGGCTCACAGGAGTCCCTGGAGAAATTATTGCAGTTTTCACCAAAGAGAAGAGGGTAAATAAAGAGGGAAGACGGACATAGGAAAAGCAGGAGAGCTGCCAGGATAGTGCAGAGGAGAAAATANGAAAAACAGTCAAAGAGTTTCTTCTTATTGAATATACTCTGGCTATGGAAACAGACAATTGATATGCAACAAAGGGCTTTAAACAGAGCACAACAGTGCAATGACATAAAACTTTGTTTACCATTTCAACCCACACAATATCATATCTGTGCAAATTATATAAAACGTCTCCCAAAATTGATAAAATGTGCACATAATTTGGTTTAATCTAACAAGTTAATTTACCAGAGACATTGAGATTTCTGATGTTAGATTAAACTCACTGCACAACCACACACACATACTGTGTGTACACACATTAGACGCCTGTCCCATAGGTTTCCATCGTGTTGTTGAAGTAATAACTAATCTTCAAACAGGAGATGTTATGACAAATAAAACTTTAACTTGGAACTTTCTGCTTAGTCACCAAGGTAACACCGTTCTTGCTTTTTGTGGTTTTCTCCCAGCAATATGCTGAACTATTCGGGCAAACGTAGGACATTAAATCCTAAATAAGTCAAGCGAAGAGTCTCTGGTAGGTGCATTTATCATTTTTATGTAATTAAATTATGTGCACCTTTTAAATTATCACTATATGTGTACACTTACGATTTGCAAATCCTTTAGTTTGATATAATCTGCACATGTGATGTATTTCCACAGCCAGGCAGCGCTTTTAAGATTACAACAAAAATTAGTTTGTTCATGTGTCCAAACACATGTGCATATACAAATATATGCAAAGAGGATATGATCACTCCTGTCGTTTTCTACACATGCACCTCCTCATTTCTTTTTTGGTGTTGGTTTTGTGTCAGCCTTGGATCCTGAGAGGCCATTTTCTGTGTTGTCGATCCCTGATGAAGTTACAAGGCACTCCTTACTGCAGTGGAAAAGAAGAAGACAAAGTTAGACCTTCAAACAGCAGCTCCTACAAATATGTCGAGCTTGCATTACTCAGTAACTACAGCATCTGAGCTGACGTGCACCAACAGCATGCTCTGATGAAACTGTGTGAAAAGGTTGCACTGCTCACAAACACCCAAAGTGGTTGTGAACACTTACTTTTTCTCCTCAAGCTTGGAAAGAACAAAGAGAGTCAAGTTCTTGAGCAACATGAAGCCCATCAAAAATGCAATGGCTCCGCCCACAGTTGAGGCGATGATGATGGTCAGCGTCTTGTCCACCACCCTCACTGCAAAAAAATATGGACATATATAATTCAACATTTAAACATTACAGGGCTGTGAGGGAGCCCTGGCTGCTTTTTGTTACAACGAAAAAAAAAGTTGAGCTGCAGTTTTATCCTAACGTCTATTTCATGAGAAACATTTTTACACATGTACCATGATCTCTTTTTTTAAACTACTGTTTCCCAGAAGTATTTGATTGATATTCAGCTATTAGTTAATTAATTTCTAAGTAAAATCATGCAAAAGTGATAATGTGCCCATTTTAAATAGCACATTATTTAGGGGATAGTCTCATCCCATGGCTGGCACTATTTTTAACTAATTGTAAAAACAGTAATGGTCAGCAATGAAGAGAAATTGCATGATGATATTTTATACTTGTGTTTTGCGTCATAACTAGAAAATGCTTAGTTTAGCAGGAAAGAGGAAATATCTCCTGGATTGATGACACCTGCAATCTCACAGTGTTTGGGTGACTTAATAGTTGATAATATTTTACTTTGACCTGTGTCCCTGTGTATGCTTCCTACATGATTTTACATTCAACCTATAAACTAATACACTTTCTGATTTAATTTCAATTTAGTATGCATTTCATGGGGCACTAAGCAAACAATCTGCTGAAAAGCCTTGTGCTTTGCTTCTCTACATCTGTGGTTTGTAGGAATGTAAGTGAGACCACACCCTCACACCTATCAGCACCCTGCACCCACAGAGACTCACACTCGTCCACCACGATGAGGGTGAAGATGGCACTGTGGTTCCTGCCCTTCTCTTTTGGATTGCGTCCAAAACAGGTGTACTGTCCTCCGTCTTCGAAGGTGATGTTCCACAGCAAGATGGAGATGTTGTTGAGATGATTCTTGCCCACAAACTCCACTCGTTCTCTGAATATGCTGACATCTGGCACCACCTCCTCTGAGGCTATCACTGACTCGCACACCTGATAGGAGCAGCAAGCTGTCAATCCTCTCATACCACCACAAGTTACGACATTGAAGTTGGACATGTTTTTGACTACGCAGAGATAAAGCTCTCACCTTTACCATGGTGCCATTGCCGTTGAACTGCCAGTTGAAGTAGAGATCCTCGATGCCGATACAGCTGGCGTATGTGCACGGCAAAAGGACTGTGCTGCCATTCACTGCCTCAAGGAAGGGAATCTTTCCTACGAACATCTCCAGGGCCTGAGCAGACCACACACCTGTGGACGAGGGGAAAACAGAAAACACAACAAGGTAAAGGCAGTGCAGGGGAAGTTTCAAGAAACAATTAAGCATCATCCCAAAAGGTGGAACTACTCCTTTGAGTTCAGTATCCTGTGTCTATAGCAAAACCAACCATCGTTCATCTTGCTGACATGATGCATTAATTAAATAAGTGTCATGCTCGAATGTATCCTGCAACCTCAACATTTTATTTTCATTAAGCTGATTAAGAAAAGATTGAAAAGTGATTTGTGTTCTTTCCTTTGCAAAATATCCCACATAGGATATTGGAAAAAAGCCCTAAATATAACAAATTTGTACAATATACAATGAATGGGCAAGAAAAAGTCCAAATTAATATCGTCAGCTGGTCTTATACACTATATCATATCTTTCTTTTTTTTTATGATTTTGACAACACATTGTAACACATGTGTATTGTTGGCACTGTTGGTTACTCCAAGCCTGAGTAACAAAACACAACAAAGTCCTTGCTGTAAATAAGAGAGGAAGAAAACTGCTGCTGCTGCTCGTGGAAACTGTAACTGTACGTCTGGGTTACACAGCATCAGGAAGTCACAGATATTGAATCGTACTTCCACCAGGATGTGTGTGGAAAACTGTCGTAGCTTTTTAAATATTGGTCTTTTTCCTTTTTTAATTCTAGAGCTGGCAGATAATCCACCTTCATTTAGCTGATCAGCCATTTGCCAAGGTCACAGGGAGCGAATAGACAGTTTATATGGAGATGATTTCAGCAGGTCATGGACAGACTGCACTAAAGCATTTTTCTACACCATTCATTTGGGCTTAATGCTGCCATCTAGTGTGTGAGGAGGAAAACTAAATGCTCACAAAATTCTTTGCAGACATTATAGCCATTATAACATGCAGACTATATAACCAGAGAAACGCTTTTAACACACTCCTGAACATGATCAATAGTTGCATTAGCAGCCATAACAGTTCCTGCTCTGTATCTAGCATTCCCCTGATTCTGTGTTTGGTGCACACCGCTCATAACATGCTCAAGGTCAGCATCCGACAAACACCATTGCAGCAAATAAGAAAACCATTGCTCACAAACGGCTAAACACAGAGCACAAGGGCAAACTGCATGTGGGAATGTTATTGATTGGTTCTCATCTCGCTCTCTGCTATCTCTCAAACTCACGCTCTGCAATCTTTTTCCTCAGCGGGGTCAATGCAGCACAGTGAGCTTGCAAAAACAGTAATAGAAACAATGACAAAGGAGCAACAGCATCACCCTTTACCTTTCCCCCATATCTTTCGTCTTGCACATGTTCACATGCCCCTCATGCCGTTATATGATACTTCTGCAATATTCACCTTTCTTTCTTTTTCAATCCTACTACATGCCCCTCCATGTTTATTACAGTACTCAGTTTCCATCACTGTCATGATTGAGGCTGCAGACACAAGTCAAGTATTCACACGATAACGCAGTGTCTATTCCTCTTTCATGAAACATGATCATTTTTGTGCTTTGTCTCCAACAAACTTTACTCTTCCTTAAATCAGAAACCCACAGCATGTTTATGTCTTATCTAGGTTTTCAATAAAAGTTTCTGCTTCAGACAAAAGTAGAACTGTGGTGCTCCACTTTCTAGCCCACATATGTCAACTTAAGAGCAACATTGTTCCTAATGAATACACAAATACATATAAAACTATGTCAAAGTGTCAAAGCACTCCAGCTCATAGGAAATTCAGAAGTAGACCTTATTTTATTGGTACTCTATAGGCTATAGACTCTGAGGTTTTATAATTTAGGTTAAATTCAGTTGAGATTAGATGAGAAGATTCACAGTAAATTAAACCCGAGAACATGGAACAACATTCCAGTTAGTGTCCATTCAGCACTTTGAACATGAAATGCTCATGTTGGATTACAGTGAAAAACGATCACCACAGAACAGTCTACTCTAAGTCTGAATCACTAACAGATAAAGCTGCTCTCAAAGTCACTGTCCCACTCAGTTTCATATAAACCTTTAATACTTTTACTCATAGATTTAAACCTGATTTCCAGTTGTACATGTTAACACAAACTGACCCGTCTGTTCCCTGCTCTGATGTGTGTAATGTACGATAAAGTACAACACAGTATCATCCAGTGTATAATAAGCTTTGGTACCTGGTGAACTTCATCATGTTTCCTTCTCTCTGTTCCTGAACCACCTGGATGTGCACATTTTACGTCGACTGTGCAGTTTTTGTGGCCAAAAAAGTGACGTCTTCCCTCTAAATGCAAACAACATCTGTGAGGAGGTGCTGTGATAAATATAAGGATATTTACCTGGCTACACATTGCCACTGGGTTTAAATACATCACAACAGGCCTGAGCCATATTTTTAATGAAGGATAATAAATTTGATCTACTTTTACAAAAGCTTTGTTGTATTTTTTAGCCCACTGTTTCCACATATGATTATCTTATTGATCATAGTGATATGGAAGTTAATGTTTTAATTAACTGATTGCACTGATGATTCAAATTGTTTGACAAAGTTCCAGTCAGAAGTCAGAAATAGATGGTGGAATGTGTAGGAAAGGTATTATACAGACATGTTTTACTCTAATAGCTTTGTGTGGATTCTTATGTGCTGCTTTTTCTGTGGACAATGAAGGAAACACTTTATTTGATGTCATTTAGATCAGCTCTAATCTGTATTTACACCTTTTACTGCAGAGTGTATCCACTACACCACTGCCCACCATTACCATAATCGCATGCTGAAAGTGAATTGACTGACAATGATATCACATCCACTTACTGTCCTGTTACTGTCACCATCAAAACACTTTTTACTCTCTCCCACTCTGTATACAAAGTTTATGACTAAATTGAAAACAAGGTTTACTAGACGCTGCTCCAAGTGACTCTGCTGCTCCGTTATTGCAGATATGATCCAGCACAATACAGTATGGTTGGCAGAGACCTTGATTGTCTAGCACAGCTTTCTACAATCCCAATACAAACCGATATGATTCACAGATAAGACTGTTTAATTGCAACAATCTTAGCCCTTAGCAAACTTAACTCCAAGTTAATCATTGTCCTTCTGTCTATGTTTCCAAGCAGGAAAAGCAGCAGTAACATCATTAGCCAACCTAGCCAATTAGAAACCTACTGTGACGACACAACAAACAAATACACTTACATCCAAAACCTGCTGTATGTAGGTCACATGTAGATAAAGGTCAGTATCAGAAGTCTTCAGAATAAAAACAATCACTGATTATGGGCTCATATCTTTGGGCGTTCTGAAAGGAGCAGGGGAAAAAAGCAAATATAAAGTTTTAAAAATGTGCAATGAAGCGACACAGCTGTGTGAGCTCTGGTACAAGGTGTAAGGGAGGCTAGGTGCAGGTGCATGTAGAGGGCAGTGACATGCAGTGTAGAGATAGACATTACCAAGCAGCACAGAGAAGATCAGGCCGACAGCTGTGTTTGGAGGGCCCAGCCTCAGGGGGTCGACCCCAACAGACAGCACCTCCATGGCAGCCAGATCTGCTCCAAAACAAATAGTGCTGCAGGATCCGGCCCCAGACTCAGGACAGCCAGTGGAATGTAGCTTCTCTGATACACTGGATTAAATGTTGAGGCTTTTGTCTCGGTGTCTGGACCCTAGAGGAGGCACATCCCAGTGTGGCCCCTGCTGGTCCTGGGTGAAGTGAGCCCCAGCTGCACTGTGGTGGAGGAGAGGGCAGAGAATAAAGTTAATCTACTGAAAAATGAAAATGATTTGACAATAAAAACAGACAGTCCAGTGAAGAGTTGGTGCACGGATGCTTGCATGTTTCCTGCATGCATGTCTGCACACGTACCTCTGAATGCAAACGGGTGACATCAGACAGAAGCAGCATGATTCGATATGTAAGTACAGTTCAAGTTTTTTCATGCCTGCCTACCTGCTCTGCAGCCGGTCCCTGCTCACAGGCTGTGCAGCGTGGACAGGACAACGGCGAGGAGGAAAAAACTCACTGCGCACAGTCAGGGTTCACTCAAGGAGAATCTGCCAGCCGGCACTTTCACTGCAGATACAGCCACATTGCAGTGCCAGCCAGGAGGGGAGACAATTAGAGAGGAGGAGAGGAGGGAGACGGAGGGAGAGACAGACAGTTACGCAGAGAGACAGAGGGACAGGGGGATGAGACGATGCTTTCGTTCCTCCTCAGCACAGCCCCGGTGAAGCTGCCTCTTCTTCTCCCTGCCTGTCCCTCTGGCTATTCCACAACTTTTCCCTGTCCTCTCCATTGGCTGCATGCCACCCCTCTCTCTCTCTCTCTCTCTCTCTCTCCCCCCCCCCCCCCCCCTCCTTCCCCCTCTCATTCTCTTCCTCTCCCTCATCACCCCCACTCACTCCCACCTCTTCCTCTCCCTCCTCCCCCACCTCCTGACTCGGGGCGTGTATGCAGACTCTCGTCAGAGTGTTTGTGGAGATCAGAGAAAAGTTCTGCAGTGCAGGTTGAGGAGGAGGTTGAAATGATGCAGCCCCAGGGCCGGGCCGGACACTTCCAGTCATAAATACACAGGGTTCCTTTTCTCTGACAACATCACTAACAGTCAAAAGCCAGCATAACAAAATCAAAGGGGGCAGTCGTGACTCTCTTTTATTTCATACCTGCATTCGTCCTCTTGTCTCCTTTCCTCTCCTCTCCTCATGTTTCCCTTGCTCAGGGTATTCCATCCATATTGGTAATGCATGTGTGCACTTGTGTGTCATGTGTCCCATTCGATGCCCAGAAGGTCAAACTCTCATGTGCATCATAGGCATGTATTGCGCTCAGGGTGATGCAGCTGTATGTGCATTATTGTATTCTATTATATTAGATGATGCATGTAGGTGCAGTCATTTCATCAGAATAGGACAGCTCCCTTTTTTTTAACACATCAGTCAACAACAGCTGACGGATGCCTTGTGTCTGCATTATTCACCACAGGACATGATGGAGGAAGTGCTTAGCTTGGAGTTTTCAGATTTGATTAGTCAGTTTTAGACCTGACTAACGTTGCATTCACACACTTAAGAACCGTACGCCTGTCCTTCTCGGTCCATTATTGTAAACAGAAACTGACTGCACAGTAATGGTAGACTTTATTAGGAGGAAAATGTGGTGGGTAAGAGGTTAAGTACAGTGTGGATGACTTACAGTGAGAGCTATAACAAGGATGCAACTGAGACCATGTGACAGAGTTTGCCATCTGAGCCCGGGAACAGTTACACATGCAGGCAGAGGACACAGGGACAAGTGCAAATCCACCCCGGATCTTCCAGCTGTTTAAAAGGCTGTAAATGAACTTTACACTGGCAGATTAAACTTGTAAGTCTTTACCTTTACTTTGCAAGTACTTAATACACAGGGACCTATTATTTATTGAGCAGGTTATTATGTACTCACTTATGGGGAGGGGTTAACTTTTTTTTCTTTACAAGCTCATGCATATCTTATAATACTCTTCTAGGGCTAACTTTGGAGCTTATATATATATATATACTTAGTAGAGCTTGTATTATTCTGACTCAACTGACTAAGCAAAACTAAGCAAACACAACACCGGAATCTATATTCAAATCTGTTTTTTATATAACCAAAGTTATCACTGTGTTTGATTATACGATACTCAGAGATGGATTTCAGTTTTCACCTGAGGGTTACAAACAACACCAACAGTAAGTGTTCATATCGACTATGAACTCCATTCAGTGATTAATAATGACTGTATACAGGTAGGTGACGTGTGGTGGCGGATGCTTGTTTCATGGGTGTGGAGCTCAATAAGTGAATGATACTGGCCGGGCTGCAGGCTCACTGCGCTCCTCTCCAGGCCCCTCCACTGGAGTGTCAATGCAGCAGCTGTGGGAACTCTTCCAGAACTGCAATAAGAAAAAAGAAAAAAAAAACAGCATACCCTGCTGCAGAAAGACAGGATGCTGCTGTAGACCTGTGCAGGACAATGCAGCACCTTCATGGGCAGTCACACACTCACCACACATGTACTGTTCAGATATTCATTAGTATGTGTCCTAAATTACTGTTTCCATGTAGACGTACCCGGAAGCACAGATGTGTCATCTGCTCTCACTGCAGCAAAATGCCTGCTGCTCCAGAAAGACAAGGACACACATCTCAGCACTTATACAGTAAAGCACCAGTGCAACACTGTAAAATACTCCATTTCAAGTGAAAGTGCTGCTTTCAAAGCAGAAGTACAGATATACCTTTGAAGCACTATAAATTGTACTCTACCAATTCATATTAAGAACAAACTGTATAATGTACATTCAGAGTAACAGTGTGGAGAGGCATGTGGTTTATGTCATGTTAGTGCAGAACCAGACAGGTTCACACATGTCGCAGCTTAGTTCCTGTGGGATATGTAATAAAAACTGATTTTACACAGAGAGATTGTCTTTCAGACGTCTCATTGTGATCATGTACATAAACACGGAGAGGCCTAAGCACAGTGGAAAAAAGGAAATCAGAGTTTCTGAGAACCAGGGAAGATTTACCCTTCAACAGTTTAACAGTTTCCTCTTTGGTAATTTCTTCCTGAGTTTCTTCCTCTCTGGAGAACCTCGGCCTCTGCTGCTTATCTGGGAGAGGGAAGCCAAATGACACAGATGTATTTCTAAGATCACACCCTCTGACGCACAACCACAGCCTTGGTCTTTCTTAACAATCAACATTAGACTTCTTAAAGTCAGCAGTCACATGGTAAGATTGAGAATGATCCAACATTGTGGGAATTGTATGCGATTACATGTGAGATTACTTTGTTCAATTATGTTCAGTGAAGACATTCCTACTTGATAATGAGTATGTGTCATTTCCCTCATCTCAAAAGAATGGATACAAAGTACTGGAAAGACTTAACAGTGAATAAGTGATTTAACCTGTGGTATTCTCATGGTGAGTCTGGTGTTAACTGATAATGAAGCATTTGAAAAAATATCCCAGTGAGATTATTTCAATCTGTTTCTAAGACACTTCCATAAGATGCATTGATCGGATATCAGACAGAAAATATCAGATCTGATAATCCATTAAGTCAGGGGTTGCGTGCTTATGATTGCCCAGCTGTTTTAAGAGGCATGACTCTGACTGTGTACAGCCACTCCTATATGTGTGACACATATAGGAGTGGCTGTTGATAATTCACACTCCCTCGCCTGATTTGTTGACCTCATGAGCTGATCTGTTCCCACACCTCAACACATTTATCAAAATGCAAACAAAATATACTCAAAAGTAGTCATTTTATTATACAGTGTTTAAACAGAGATACATTTGGTGACAAACATTTCAGGATGTAATTTTAAAAAGTGTAAAGTTCTGCTTATTTTACAATATGTACAGGATTGAAATACAAAATCAGCATTTGCCAAGGCAGTAAACAACTCATCACTCATATGTCTCTGGAAGCTAAAACACCCACTCTCTCATTTCATGTCCAAAAAAATTAAAAAATGATCTGTAAAGACACAAAACACAGTTCAAAGATATATCGTTAAAAAACTTTCACTGTGTCTAGTCTCAGCTGGTGCTTTCAGGAAGTGAGCAGCAGAAAGGCCTGATGTGGCAGTGGAGCAGATAAACACTCAATGTGTGTGTTTCTGTATTAACAATGAACTAAATTAAATCGGCTGAATCTATATTCTGTTAAAGTTTTTTCACTGATCTGAGACAATACATTTTTTTCCAGCAGCAGCTCTGTGGAAACACAGTCAAATTAGCACGAACAAGCAAAGTTACAGTGCATGTAGAAAAGAATCATCCATCAATCCACATCCATACAACAAGCAAAGAAAAGAGGGAGCTCCAGTGATTTATGTTAACGTTACAGATTTTAAGAGTAATACTATATATCTTAAAAGTTATATAAAGCCCCATGTTGCTGTGAGAGATGGGTGAAATTCAAAAAATGTTCTAATGTGATGTCACGTCAGTGTTGGTTGGGTCTGAAGGGTATGAAAAGCAAAATTAAAGTACCCAAATGTTGAGCTTAGCGACATGAAAATAACCTCTACAAACCAAACTGTCAGTCTTCTAATTGCATCATGGGTAATGTAGGTTTTGATAAGGAAATAGAAATAGCAGAATTTGTTCCGTCTTTTAAAACTGCCTGTCAGTGTTAGAGTACAACGGCAAATACTCTTTTTGACATATAATAAATTACATGTGAACATTTACATGTTAATGAATCATCAATCGCAATTTAATCATCACCACCGCTTCCATCATCAGCTTCACCGCCGTCGTCGTCATCGTCATCATCATCATCGTCGTCGTCGTCATCATCTTCTTCAAGGCCATCCTCTTCCTCATCGTCATCGCCACTGCTGGGCTCAGACTCTTCATCATCTGAACTTTCAGCTTCTTTCTTCTTCACAACTTTCAGATGAACTGCCTCTTCCAGTGTACTGACCCCACCCCCACAAAACAAATGCAATCCAATCACACACACACATACATACATAAAAAGTGAGATGGGCTATTTGTGTATAAAGTGGTAAATAATTGGGCAAATGGAAATTGCGGCAATTGAACAAAAGACCCACTTTGGTTTACCTCAGCAAACATTGACTGCCAAAAGATGATAATGAATACAATACCCAAAATCCTCAGCTTGTAGTAAACCCAGCCAGAGTACCACGGAGAATCGATGCACTGCTTCTCTCAGTAGACGGAGATGACCGAAACATCAGTTTATTAACATTTCTCCACCCAAACCTCGTGGTTCTCTGGGTTTAAAGTCTCAGGGTTAGTAAACATGTGTTCAAAACTAAAAGTGGCACATACTGTGAAGCAGCGTGAGGGTTATGGCCAGAAAAAAGTTAATCTGTTCTTATCTGTAATACAATCCCTCAGGAAAAGGCAAAAGAGAGGATACATTGATTTATGACTCAATTCACCACAGCAGCATCATATCTTAAGTGCTGTTGTGCTCTTTAGGGATAACATTTAGTATAAACGAGACAAACTTTCAAATGATGATTCAGTTGAAGCACAGCACTACAAAACTCATGATCAATTTAAAAAAAGAAAATGAAAAGACATTTAACTTGTCATTTCATTGCTATATGATGAAAAAAAAGAAAATCAGCAGAAAAAACTGCAATTGGGGTAGTCTGCACTGCTGCTGTGAATTGAGGATAATGAACAAGTTTAAAAGACCCGCACTTTGTTAGAAACTCCATCCATATTTACATCTCCTAGTCTACAGTTTAAATACTGAATGGAACTTTTGGTAAAAGCATATGCAAGTGTTTAAAGATTTGGTGTTACAACAAATTGGATGTGTGGTGCATTACAGCTGTAATACTGAAGTGAATAAACTGCAATGAAATCTGGGAGGTTCACATTGGAGGAGCAAAGATGGAAGAAAAAGTCACCGTGCCACCCTCAGCTTTCATTTGGCTCTTCTGGCAGAGTGGACCCAAACGGCCAATTAGACGGCACACCAGTCCTGAAAAGAAGCCAGTGGAGCTCCTGCTCTCTGTTCCTCACCACACGGTCGGGTCCTTCCACTCTTGATCCCGTGGACGCAGCTCGATGTCGTTTTCCATGCCTCGTCTCCTGTGGAACCTCACCACCACAAAGATAGTGAGGAAGATAAGGATTGCGCCACAGGCGCATCCGATGATGATCGCCAGGATGCTGATGTCAGAGAGTGAAACTAGAGGCAATGGAACCAAAATAAGTGAAAACATATCGCGAATGCAGCAGCAGAGAACACAATAGAGATGAAATAGATTCATAGAGCATCCCAAATTCCTGTTGTAAGGCCAGAATATTTTTACCAGGAGCAGTACAGTATTACGATCTAAATATATTCTGAAAACACCGTTGTCCTGACTGTAAAGCCAAAATAAGATGAAATGAACTTCTCTTCTTCACAGATGTCTTACCTTTGTTGACGACTCTGAAACTGATCTCTCCGTTTTTGCCGTGCACATCTGGACGGTTGCGCACCTGGCAGATGAAGGTACCGTTAAAGGTCGGAGGCACCTCTTGCAGGGTGATGGAGGCGTCCCGTCTCGTTATATCCCCCGACCACACTGCATGGCCTTTAAAACGGCCATTATTTGGGGGGTACGGTACTTCCTGGTAGTAAAACACCTGGAACACACACACAAACCATATAATGCATACAAATAATGTAGTGTTGAAGTCCAAATTATTGCTTCTACAAAAATGCTACTGCTCTGGCTATGTCAGCTGTTAGCCAGCTAACATAGCACAGCTGGGTTCTGTGCTACATGAACATTTTACGGTTCTGCGAACATGGGGCTAACTTTACCTTCACTGTGCGCTTTCAACTCCTCAACACAACCCGACAGCCACTCGCTCTTCGAGGAGAATTTTGAGACCTTGAAGGCGGGGACACTGGGTGATGCTGCCCTCCTTTGATTGGTCACTTTGAACACTCCAGTCCCCACCATATCTCTGAACTTACTGAAAATGACTGTCTGGACTATTGCTGACATTTGATTAGAAGTGACATCATTTTTATATTTTGGGATCGTCACCGGGAGATAAGCATGTTTTTTTCTTGACATGACCTAAAGTAATATATGTATTGTAAGAGTCACCATTAGCAGCTAGCAGCCCAGCCACTGACTCTTCTCCTCTGGATTCACTTAGAGCTGTTAGGAGTCAAATTTATCAACTGACAATCGACACAAGAATGAGAGCGAGAAAATGAAACAAGCGAATGACAACATTAAAACACTATAAATAAAAACACTCAAGGTAGTTTTTTAGTAAAAGCACAGTTCCTACACACCGACTCATCTTTTCCTGAGTCTATGGGCCTGAAGATCCACGACACTATGACCGACTGGGATGACACCGGGTGAGTGGAGGTGAAGGTGCACTTCAGTTTCACATCTGTCCCGTTGGCTGCCTCCAAGTCGCTTGGAGTGTAAATTTCTATCCCACTGACATGTTGCATCCCTGTGACAGAGACAACCAAGTAAAACAACAAGGAATATGCATTAATATCTAATCTAATGCACAAAGGCTCAAGGGTCAAACAGCTCAGGTTAGTGTAATTTTTCAGCAGTTTTTCCCGTGTTTCAGCAACTAATCGGAAACATCCATGACAGTTGGGAGCAAAGTAACATGGAGATCTCTGCTGTTAGTATATATTAAGTTAAGTTGTGCCGACAATCTGTGCGACAGCCCGCCACTTGAGATCGTGCGACCTGATTTTCCACTTGCCGTCGTGAACACAATGGCAAACAAGAACATAACTAATTCAAATAATTTAAGAGCTGCTATGCATACCACAGGTTAACGAGTGCCTGTATGTATGAGGAGAGTACATTAGGTCATATTGATACTGCCTTTAGAGAAGCCTTAACAAACACAGGGAGTATTAAATATTACATCTGGAAAAAGCTCATTTGGGTATTTATGATTTTAACAAGTGGTATAAATCTTTTGACGAATTTTAATCATGTTTTCACTATAAACCCATGAAACCTACAGCAGGAGCAAACTGGCAACTGTTCATCTCCCTCGAGGGTTGTGGCAAAGTTCAGCAGTTTAGCTCAATCTGAATCACACTGTCAGCCACAGTGACGAACAGACCGCCAGACTCTTCCTGAAGATTAAAACATTCCTTCTAATAAACCACAGAGAAGAAGAAAAAGAAACCAAGAATGTCCAGTAATCCTGGACTGAGAGGCGTGAAATCAAATGTTCTGTAGATGAAAAAACTAAGGGGATAGGAGAATTTAATAGGACATGTTCAGAGTCTCTGTGCGAAGAACTTGTAAAATGTAAAATTCAATGATTAAAAAGAGGATTAATAACAGTTGAATCAAAGCAAACCTTAGACTGTAAATAGAGGATATAAAACAACCTGAAAAATAAATAAATTCCCATATTACTCAAATGAAAAGTCACGAAACATAACGCATCTCCAAAAGGTTAAGAGCTCTTCAATATACTTAGGTGGATATGTTTTTTTCCCCTTTTTAAAATGTAACCTCTTAACATATTTGCCATATGATCTATTGGTTAAAATTGTTGATTTATTGGTATATACAGTTGTTAGTTGGTATAGGCAGCTGTTTCTTGCTGAGTTCTTTGTCTAATTCCTGGAAACTTGTTTAGCTCCAAAATGATCTCTTCCTCTTATCAAATTCCCAGTACAAACAGAAATCTCAAAGGAAGTTGAAGAAAACAAACGAGAAGGAAAAAATGTTTGAATGTGTGGGTGTTTTTCTAACAACCAAACTGGGCAACTAGGAACAAATAATGTGAAAGAATGACATTAATTTCAGTCAAGACTAGACCTGGACCACAACACTGGGGCTGGCCATATGAACGCTAAAGTCCAAGACTGACTGATGAACCGTTTTCACACATGAACTCTAGAAAAAATTGATTTGGAGTGAAGAGTAGAAAGTTTGCCGTGTATGAGTTTTCCTTTCGGTTATGAAGACAGCAGCAGGAGATTAGAGTCCAACACATTCATAATAAAGAGTTGGTGTTTGGGTAAATCATGCAGGAGGCAGGACATGATGTATGAATTCTGCTGTCTAGGGCACATGCAGTGTTTCTTTTACAGCACACTGACATCTCTTATCGCCAAAAGCTCTCCAATCTCGCTGTCTCTCCAGGTTGACATTTTTGTCTGCGTCTTCTACATGAAGGACACCTCTTTTCTCTCTGTGTCCATTCAGAGTAATAAACATCACCAACAGGCCAACTCACTTGCTGGGAATTTTCCAGACATTTTTGTCCTCTATTTTCACAAGGGCTCACTCAGATATTTAGGGAGGAAAAGTTCGGGAATATAAACGGAACAATGGACTCAGACATTTGTGTTTTCACATACAGCCCCTCGAGAAAATGTGTGGACTTCAGTTCATTTCTATAGAGTGACGAAGTTCCACCATTGGTCAGCCGGTCGAGTGCTCTGTCACACTAAATTTCCTGACACTTTCTCTCTCTGGGAACATTTTGTGAACAGAAATGAAACCACAGTTGTTGTATTGAAGTTATTTGTAGTGATTCTCAGTATCGTCACGTTGCTTGTTTCGTTTCACCCCACATCCAAGAGGGCTTTTCAGTTTTAACTGACTAGTGGGAGGTTTCAGGTATTTAAACGTGGTGGATTGTTACAGATCATGACAGTTGTTATGTTAAACATGCAGGTCATTGACCAGCACAGCCACCAACTAGAGGGCTGTTGGGGTCCAGAGCTGTGAATAGAAGTTGATAGTCGCAGACCCACCCTGCTACTGTGTGAATACATGTTAAATACCCGAAAACACACACGAGTCAGCTTTGTTAGCTGTTTTAAAATAATATGGGAGGGAGAGGGAAGGAGAAAAGCAAACAAATAAAGAATAAAGAAACCTAGTGACATTGTGAGTGCAAATAAGATGCCATGATGTCATGAATATAATAGTGTCGTTCAGTGACTTTTTGAGCAGACTTTACCTAATTTGAATTGAAAATATTTGTTTCCAGCACATATTTGTTATTTAAACTAGTCTTTTTTCCCTTTTACAAGAAGCAACATTGGATTCTTGCACAATGTATTTGACCTTAAATACAAAACTAAATGATAAACAGAGGTTTTCCAAATTGGCTATAAATATTCTATTTTATCTATCTATTCTAGATAAGGTTTTCAGATTAAGGCCAAATTAGTAGTTTAACATTGTGACAGTCACTATATTTTCCTAACTATTAGTTTTCTTATGTACCCACCCACTATCACTTTTTTATTAAACTTAATTAATCAAAAGCTTCCCAGTCCTTCCCAAGGCTCTGTATGTAAATACTGTTAATACATAGCAAATAAACATGTCTGTGTTACTTGTAAAACAAGTTATAGTGTAGTTTAGATATACATATACATAATATCTCCCTCACAGGAAAAATCCTGCTCCACATTATCTATCTGTTGTGATACCATGAAACTGATCATCAAACAACCTGACATTTACAAAAACCACCAACCTCTACGACTCACTGGCTTCAACCTGAAGTTAAAAGGTAAATAATCTGTGCCATGGGCTCATTTGTATGTTATTTTGTTAGTTTCATTTTCCACCATTCAACCATCAGGACATTCCCTGGGGGCCAGGAGTTTCCTGACCTGCCTGTCCAAACAGCTCCTCCAAACTCCACATTTGCAGGGTATTTGAGTAAAACAAATCTCAATGACAGCAGAAAGATGGTTTTGTGTATTTTTCAAAAGCCAACATACTGATCATTGTCGCTCATTCAACATGCAGCAGGGGATGTGTGGGGATTGTTTTGAATTACTGACAAAACATGTTGAAATTACACAACACTACTGAGTTTTAAGCCTTGTTACAACAACCCCAACAATCTAAAGAATGGAAACTGTTGAGACTTCATTTGTGGTATCAATTAGGATCTGTGTTGTGATGAATTGTTTCCTTTATGAAGCAATTCATCCCCCCCAAAGTTAAAAAGCACAATACTGCCAATTATCACATTCAATATTCAGCAAAAACTTTATTCCCTAAATATAGTTACTAATGCAGCCCCATCAAGTAGATGAGTTTTAACACAAATCAGAAACAGCAGCATGCATTGTTGTGTGTTGCTGCCACAGTGAGCAATTATACATAGGACTTTAAATATATGACATTTTAACAATAACACTGAGCAGGAGGATGCACATTATAACTACTCATCTAGGTGGATAAAATGACATAAATAATAGTCCTGCAGTAGATAATTGAGGTGTAGATCCAACTTGATAGTGGTTTGCATGGATTAGAGTCCTCCCGTATGGTTTTTGGGGGCTGATACTGATATTAGGGTGTAAAAAATTTATGTTACCAATATCATTCAATTCCAGACATGTTTTTGCCTGTGATCACCAAACCTATGTAGTAAAGCTGAATCATGTTGTTCTGTAGTTCACTTGTGTACCTGTGATCTACAGCTGCTGCTAGAAGAAGAGTTAAATTATAGATTTGATTGAAATATTACATAAGAGTAAATGTAACATATATAAGTATAAGTTCATGGGAACTGCATGTCTCGTTGCTCATATATATATGAAAACATTATATATTCTACTCTGTAGGCTACTCTAAACTATGAGTGAAGGCTTCATGTAAAGCGATCAAGACAAATAAACAAGCCTAACAGACAAAATGCTGCTGGTCCTGCAGTGAGAGGTGTTTAATAATCCACCTGTCAAAAAAAAAAACAAGGCTTATTCACTTCAGTGGTGTCGTTAGTAACTTTGCTCTGCTTTAGAGAAAACGTAGTAGGAGCGGACTATGTCCAGGAAGTAGCTGGGACTCACCTGGCACCAGGAGTCCTCCCAGGAGAAGCAGAGGCCATATCCGACACATGGGATAATAATAAAACATTTATTCTGGGTTGGTTAGATCCTGTGTGAGAGTCGCTTCATGCAGGTTCACACGCTGCACACATGGAGGAAGATCTCACCGCAGACAGTCGGGGTGAAAGAATCAGACGCCTTGCCTGTCGTCTTCGCTGGTGAAAGAGTGAGTCACCCTCCGCTCGCACATACCTGATGGGCGGTGTTTAGCCGATCCTCTCTCTTCTTGCATAACCTGTATGATCAGACACAAAGCTGTCACGTAGCACCTGCACTATTCTACCAAAGCTTGTTTCTGTTTCACTCCCGATGTCCCAGAGGAAGTTTAGATCCACTGACTCAGGAGTTACTAATTAACCCAGAGTCAAGTTAAAACTTATTAAGTTAAGTTAAACTTAATTTGGACTAAAGCCAATTCTCTCTGGACTGGTTCCCCCTGGTGGCCACAGCATCACATCACAAACATCAGCCACTGCTCAGTCAACAGGCCTCTGTTTAATTCTGGGGGGGTGAATGAGGAATATTATGTGTTTTATTGTGTGATAACATTTAAGGTTCAGTGTGAAGTTGCATGTTGCAGCTGAATACCCCTCACCTCACCCTTCCCTTCTAAACATGAAAGAGAACCTGTGGTAGCCTTCAGTTGTCATTAAACCTCAAATGTAAAGAGAGAGTTTTACCCCACAGACAGGGGCAACATACTATTGGTGGTGAAAACATGTTTTGCAGCTCATGATGGGCACAACAGTGTTAATCCTATAACAGTGTCCCTTCATAACCTCTCATGCCCTAGTGCACTTGCACAGCACAAATGTTGATCAGGCAATGCAAGGTTTATGTTTAGATAAACATACAAATATGAAAATAAGAAATAGAGATGACATCATATCTTACAAAGGTAGTTTACATTTGTAATTCAGAGTTTCAAATTTGAAACATGCTTGGTGGAAGTTGCTGCTGAATACAAAAAGAACATTTCACAGGAGCATTTATGGCCACTTTGATTTCTTGGCCTATGAGGCACAACACAAATCAGTGTTGGTGATTGCCTATGATGATAAGTCTGTTATTTCATGCATCTGAAATAACTTCTCACAAAACATGATCCTGACATGTCTACACTTGCCAGCTCAGATCTGCATGTCAGAGGCAACCTTCCCAAAGCCCCATCCGCATACAAATCTATTTATAACAGAATGCACCACAGCTCAATTATAAATTATAAATATATATATACATCTGTTTTTGTGAACTTATTCAAATTAATGTGTTATTAAAAAATACATTTGAAAAGCCTACTATCATCAGCAACAAGAATGACCACACCACAATAATATTAACTCTAAAATATTACAAACAAAACAAATAAACAATAATTGAGTAGATACAGTAATTGATTATTGACTCTATAATAAATACTCTGTAACCTACATAGCTTATCTGTGGATGTGGATTACTATGTTGATGCGGTTGCTCTTGCTTTGTAAAAATACAAGTTCACATTTATAATGTGCAGTTGCACAGTTGCAGTGTCAACCATGTATATATCAAGTAAATGTGACTTGTAGTCTGTGATTATAGTTATTACTCAGACTCAGGGTCCAGTTGAAATGCATCAACACAGATTAAAACACATGCAAAAGCCCAAAAGAGAAAAACATCTATACATATAAATTAATTTTAACGTAATGTAAAAGCGTCCTTTCTCGTGGTTGTATTTTAAAGCATACACAACATATTTCTACACAGCTCCTGTGTTTCCTGCAGCACTGGAAGGAAGAGTTTTGACCTAACATGACCATGATGCTTTGCGGTCTGCCGCAGGGAGATGAGCCACGAGTGGAAGTGAGAGGTCTGTTCACAGATGGCACTCAAACAGAGATGGGGCTTTGGGGAGGCTGCTAAAGACAAATAGAATCTGTCACGCTGATATTTCTCACACGAGCAAGAAGAGTGTTGTTGTTTATGAATCAAAAGTCAAGCGCGTGAGGCTGTTTTTAGATTTGAATGGCACATTCAAAACCAGCGAGCCACCCATGATTCATTGCGGCAGCAGCCTTGTGTGTACTTCCCTGGAATTAAAACATAGATTACAGAAGCTAGCTGGTTCAGGTTTATGCTGCACAGCTAGCTACTTTAGCTTTACTCATATCGGTGGATTGTATAGTTTGGGTGTGTAACTCCAGCTCGCTGCAGTGTCCTCCCCGGTGTTACGGTCAGAGCTATCTGCTTCCGGCTCTCCTCCTCTCACACTCTCTGCTCTCTGCCTTCCTTGACACACCTTTTGTTGTCTCGTCGAGCTGGAGTCAGCTAACGGCTGCTACCGAGCATCACCCGCCGCCTGCCCCACAGCGGAGAGCTCAAGTCGCGGGTAAACAGTTGCGCTGAAGCCGGAGGGAGCCGACACGTGACGGCCGACAACACACAAGGTAGCTTGTCTTGCAAATCGATATTGATGATAATAAACTACATTTCTGAAAGCGATCGCGTTAATGTCGACTGTGTCTGTCGTTAAGTGTGAGAGGTGCAGCCGTAACAGTCATTAGCGGGCTGGTTAGCTCGCTGGCTAACATGCTAACAGTGTGATAGCGGATTTAATGCTCAATGATCTGTAAACACCCGCCGTGAAAGCGAAAGTCGCCGACATCCGTATTAGCACCGTCTGTCTGCTCCTGTGATGCTAAGCTGCTACATGGCAGCAGCCTCTGTTAGCTGCTGCTTCCCTCCTCACACTGCACCAACCTGAACCAACAGAAAGCCGTCATATTCATTGTGTATAGTTGTGTCTCTCTGTGAATGACGTGTGGTGTCCTGCAGGATGAATGCTGATGAACGGAACCCAGCTGCAGTGGCTCAGCCGGTAGAAGATGCACAAGGAGACGGACGCTGGATGTCACAGGTTTGTTTTTAGTGGAGGAAACTTTCTCTCGTTGTCTTCATGTTTCGTAAAGTAAAATATCACATTTGTTCTTATGCATTCAGGCGATATCCTGCATTATTTGCTCTCATTATTCGGCTTGTCCATGCTTCTTCATAGCATCGGTTTTGGTTGCTGTGATGACATATTTTTTAAAAAGCTTTAAAATCTTAAAATGATCAGGATAACACCCCAGTGTGATGTTAGACTCATGACAAATTATATTAACTCAATATATTGATAAATGTCACATTATTATTTCGGATAAGTTAAAGTACTGATTGAAGATTGTGGTTTTTAACTCCTTTATTTCAGTGAATGACATCACTTGACAGATTGATCTATTATGTGTTATACCTCCTCTCTGTGTTTGCACGATTCATATGCATTGCTATATGATTTGTATTATACTGCTATGGATGAATATCCTATTGTGATATTTATCGATATTGTTTTCATTACCTAGCCCTAACTTACGACAATGCTGTAAAAACATATTGAATCTTGCATTTATATTCTTACCATTGATCTTCATAGTTGTGCAGTGATTCTGTGCATTGTCTTGTTTTGAGGAGACTTTGAGATTCAAGCTAGATCTGCATCAATAATGTTTGGATGCTGTTCTCTATAATATCAGTGATAAATAAATGGGGGGTGAGATTAATGTGAGTGGTCGTCATTATATTCGTTTCCCAAGGCTTGTGTTTCTTTCAGACAGCCACATTTTCTTGTGGCTGTTTAGTAGGTCTGTGTAAATTTAATCCTTCAAAGCTGATAGAACTGAGACAGTCTGCTTCGCTCTGAGCTCCTTTTTAGATGGGGCACCAGACATGGCTTGACTGGGATGAGCCAACAGGATTTTGTCTTGACTTGGATAGCTTGCAAGTATTAAGCTCCTGCTAGGATTTGGTAGACAACTTAACACAAATGTGTTAACTCGGACTGAAAGACTTGTTATAGAACTGATTGGATTGATTTCTGTAAATGTTATTTATTTATGTATCCATTCCAACCTTCACAATTGTGCACTACATCCATAACTCTAGTGATGAACTTTATTAACTTTTTTTTTACAGCACACACGATTTGTGTTGGAGTGTAAAGATGGTGAACCAGAAGTGCTTTTTGTGGGAGATTCTATGGTTCAGCTAATGCAGCAGTATGAGGTGAGATATGATATTCTACACCTGGAAATTTGAATGAGTATTTTCACACACTACTCTTGATATGACATAAATGTACAGGTTTATTTTGCTGCAGTTCGAGTCTTATATTTAAACATATAGCTTTGTATTGCATCTTGTTCTTGATCAGCATCGTTTGTTGTAAGCATCAGTGAGATATTTGGTGTTAGTCACCAAAGTAAGAAATACAGAGTAGCTCATATGAAATCCAGACTCATGGTTTCCTATCCACAGATGTGGAGAGAATTGTTCTCTCCTCTTCATGCTCTCAACTTTGGCATTGGAGGAGACACCACCTGCAATGTGCTGTGGAGGCTACAGAACGGAGAGCTTGAGAACATCCGTCCCAAGGTAAGACAATAGCAGCCATATTCCTATTATGTAAGTCACAGTGTGCTTTTTGTAAAAACTCTAGTAGCAGCACTTTGTTGTATCACTCTAGCTGTGCTTAGAGACTCGTACTTCTCTACCATTGCCTGGATGTAAAAGCACGAAAACTCATTCTCTCAAAACACTGAGCAGGATCTTGGCTCCAGAGATGAGTGTGTGCTGTGAGAATAAGCAACACGTCTGTCTGTGGTCTTGTCCAGGTGGTGGTGTTGTGGGTAGGAACCAACAATTACCAACACACAGCAGAGCAAGTTGCAGGAGGAATTCTTGCTATTGCGCAACTGCTCACATCCTGTCTCCCAAAGGCAAAGATAGTTGTACTGGTAAGTTCCGTTTTATATCTTGTCTTGTACCTTATTTGTTTTAAATAGACATGTTGATGGGATTTCTCTCTGCAGCTGTCGCACTGAGTGACTTTAAGTAACCTTTCCACTTTTAGCGGCTAACAAAATAATGAAGTATTCCATACACTGAACATTGCATCATAGAAAAAAAGTAAACGCACTATCAACATATTGACCCTCTCTTTTTGCTGTCCTCAGGGTCTGTTGCCACGGGGGGAGTGGCCCAACCCGCTGAGGGTGAAGAACGCTGCTGTTAACGATTTCTTGCGTTCTTGGCTGCCACGTCTGGGCCAGGCTCAGTTTCTGGACGTGAGCGGGGATTTTGTTCACTCTGATGGAACCATCGTCCCAACGGACATGTTTGACTTCCTTCACCTGACGCCGACAGGTTACCGCAAAGTGGCCAAGCCCCTCAGTGACCTGCTGCTACAGATACTGGAGGAGACACCAGAGGAGAGGCGGGCATCGCTGGTTTGAAGGCCATTGCCGAGCAGCAACATTTATCTAGAGGCATATCTCCTCCTACTGCTGTGGGAGAAGGGGGGGGTGTGCCCCTGGTATCTGGAGGAGGAAGGACCCACTCACAGTGGGGGAGGTAGTACCCTGATGTGAGTGGGCCCTCGAGGTGGGTGGGATGACATCCATGAGCGGAGTGTTGTTACGGGGAGGTGATAAGGAGGGAGAGAGACCTCACTACAGACGTAGACACTGTGATTGCAGTAGTAAGCTCTAATGCAAAATGAAAGGTCAGACTTCTCTGAACAATAGACAGACATACAGAGACCATATGAGACATCAGTGGCTCACACAGCTCTATCTTGGCCTGTGGAAAAAATGAATGTTTCTCTCTGTCACTTTTTCCACAGAGACACGATACTAAACAGAGGAACAATCCAATTTCTTCCCTTATGTTTTGTTTGGAGTCCGCAAAACTGTAACTGAGTGGTCTCGATATTAAAGAAATACAGCACGCAACAAACAGTAGAAAGAACCTAATCCAACATTGTATAATGTTATGAGTCTGACCAGTTTACTACAGAGCAGAGGTTCCCAACCTGGTGGTCAGGGCGTCCTTAGAGGTGTCAAGAAAAATCTTGAGGTTTTTTATTTTTTCAGATATGTCTATTTTTTTGACCTTTTTAAATCATGAAAAAGGGGATATGTTCACTGCGTCAGGCGTCTAAAAATCCAAATTCAATTGGAGAGGTTAAAATCACTTTAGATGGTCCACAAGTGAATGGTTGGGAACCAAAACAGCATATAAAAGAGTGTATACAAATTTAGTTTTGTCAGTCCAGTTCTTCATGTACTATTTCATGTAAAACCAGATAAGGAGCACCAAGTCTTTAAAATGGTCACTTTTTAACTGATGTAACTATTTTATCGTCTTGACAAATTGTTGATCAATGTAAAATAGAAGATATTTGGAGAGACCACACACACAGATCACTACTTCATCTCATGTGACTTAAAACCACAGCAGAACTAAATGTTCACGTCAAACCTGGCGTTCACTGCATGCATGTTTTAAGGTGAGCCTCAGCTTCTGTGTTGAAAGTGGGCCGACGCTTCTGTATGTTATATCCAATGTGCTTTAATTATTTATGTACATTAATTGAGTAAATGTCAGCCAAAATCATGTATTCATACATATCCATTAGTGATGTTACACTGTTGTATCTGCATGGGTCTTCCAAACAACACTAATCCTGTCGCTTACCTGCAAAGCTTCTATTAGTAGATTTACATTTCACTATTTTTGTCCCAAAAAATCTGTGACATTTTTGAGTAGGAAAATATCATAATTTCAGGCCGTGATATTCTCATGCTCCAGTCCAACAGTTAACTTGATTTTCATTTTAACAACAGAGAAAATAATTCTGAGACAAGCAGGTGGCTGACACGTCATCTTTACATCACTATTCACAACACAAGCTATCCCTCGTGAATACAGTTTGATGTGTGACATTCATCTGTATCTCACCCTAATATGTCCAAATGTCCATAGTCCAACCCTCACACCCGCTCTCTCTCCCTCTTAACATGAATATACAGTATTTTTATCGTTGAAGCTCCTCTTGATTCTGTTTCTCACCCTCTCTTTATTTCAGACACTGTTCTCATAGTGAGTCCAGCCCTGCCACCTCACATCTCCACATTGTGTAGCTATTGAATTGTTTTAGGGAGACAAAGTAGGCTCTGAACACAGCTATAGTGAATATTGTCACGCTAAAGAGAAATCACAGGTCATGTAAATAAAGGTATTCGTCTGTGAGCTTAACACCGTAGCTGTTCCTCCATGGCTTCGGTTCTGTTGCCAGCGTCAAATGATACTGTTGTCTTAAGCTCCGCACATTCACATGCTGTGTTGAATATAAATGGTGTATGTGTGTGCCTTATGTGTTGATGGGGACAGTTGTGTGGACAGTATGTGTGCTCCTGGATTGTGTACGTTGGATGTGCGAGTGTTTAGAAGTGACCCCACCGCCCACGGTTGTACATAAGAGGTGAGGCTTGAGAGTGATGTGTGAAGAGGGTTCAGATTGTGGGAGTCTTTTTTTGGTGCAATACACTCTTTGCACTGTTTTGACTTGCTGTCACATTATTGCGTTAAAGCATTCCAATAAAAAAAAATCCTGAATCTAATGAAGTATTCGCTTATTAGTGTATTTATTAATTAAGTGATTTAAGAATTATTTGGTTGTCATCATGTGTTACTGTTACCCACCAACAGAGGGAACCATTTCACCAGAGAATTGAAACGATGGCCACCAACAAGACTCGCTGCTGCTTCTGTTTTATTCAGATTGTCAGTGCCTAGTTAATATCTTTACATCAAGTTACATTTTTTTTGTAATAACTCACCAGCAGGGCTCTGAGGAAATCTCCTGTTAAAACTTCCTCATTAAACATTTAGTTAGGCGTGCTGAAGTGTGATTACTGGCGAGTAGTAAAATACTTGCTGAATAAACCATTTGCTCACTCTTAATGTGGCTCTATTTATGGAGGCCTGTACCTCAGACAGTCTATTGACAGTAATTATCCATGGAATGAACATTATAAGTTCATGTTTCCAACACAGAAGTCAGTACATGTCAAAACAATTACATTTACCATTTTTGTGAATTGTCCTCAGTTATCACTGGGGTTTCTCTTCATACCTGTTTCATCAGAGTGTGTGATATGCTGCCATGTGTGATAAATGGTGCTGTGGTTAAAAAATCCTAGACTCATATATCGTCTGCTTCAGGCTACAGCTTTAATGCTGTATCTGATCACAGCAGGAACTCTGGCCATGAACTATAAATTCCAGCTCATTTACCACTTCAGTGTAATAACACAAGCTCCGAACACCAGCCCTTCACTGATGGTGGGGTTCTCTGATTGAAACATGGACAAAGATGATTGTGTTCTCGGAATAAATTCCAAAGATTCAATTTGTTTTCTTGAATATGAGTGACTTTGTTCCAAATTAGTTAGATGTCCCTCATGGGGTTCAGCCTCTTTCATCGCCATGTGATGCAACTGTTATTATAGTGTGATGGCTCTCAGATCAGATGTCATTGTTCAAAGTGCACATGTGTGCCAGAGCCTTGTTCTATGGCTCTTGCTGCTGTTGTTTTATCTTTTGGTCAAAAGTTGAAGCTAAATCTGTCACATGTTTTAAATTCACAATCCAATTATTTTTTTACAGGAAATGAAATGGGGACACTGTGCTCATGATAAAAGCAGAAGTTTAGAAAACAAGCATACATCCTACAACCATTCATATAGTTCATAGTGACTGGGAAATTGGTACATTATGAATAGCAGCAGGGCAAAATTTACATCAGGGACCTGTTTCTGTTGTCACCAAGATACTGTGGGATTGATTTTACAGTGGGTGCAGGAACCTGCATCAACCAGGTGAGGGACCTCAACCCTGTCTGTGTGCATCAATATTTTTAACTATTTGATTTGCAATGGATGATGGTTTGAAACCACAACTAATTTGAGGCACAGGTTTCGGTATTTGCAGTAACATATATTATTATGAAACAACAGTAATAACGTTATAGAACACATGATTCCTCATGACTGATATCAGGATTCATGTTCACAGAAACGGCCTTGACTGAGGAAATTCCCCTCCTCTGCAAAAACACTGTTCAGCATCACTAAACCAGCGGTTGTTGCATGATAAAGTTCATGACTTTAATGGTTGGTTCATCTCTGCCTTGAGCTTCTGTTCTCGTCTTTGTGCATTTTGTATGTTAGTACGCAGGATTATGCAAAAACTACACTGCACATTTCTATGAAACTCAGTGGAAGGATGTGTAATGAGTCAGGAAGGAACTCATTTATCTTTGGTGCGGATCCAATAATTAATTTCCCATTTATTAAACATTGTATGAAAGAGCTTTTTTTTGTTTGACATATCAGCGATCTCTCAGAAATTTAGATATGGTTTCATAAGGGGACTGTTGGGCGTTGGCAGGTATGTGCTCCACCGAGTGTCATTCCAGTTTTGTCTTACTGTGGGCGTTTACATTTTTTCCATGCTGAAAGTTATATCTGTTTTATTTTCACTGATTTTTCAGGGAATAATTCACAGATCTTAATGAAAGAAACCAAGCCTATTTTGGGGGACTGATCCATGAGTGTGTGAAAATAGGTGCAGCTTGGTTAAATTTAAGGGAACTGTTGGGCCTTGGTGTAGGTATGGGCTCGACGAGTGCCATTCTATTAAAAGTGATGAGTTATAGTTCCTATGTTGTTGGCAGGTTTCAACAGACCAGCTGAAAGATGGTTTACCGAAAGCAACCTTTTCTAAAAGTGAACTTTGAGGATCCATGAATTTTTGACAGCACGCTCTGGGATTTCAACTTGTCACTCTGCTCTGTCTTCCTCACTCTGTGTTTAACGTTGTCAGATTTCAATATTTGGCCTCAAACAGTTTTAGGGGAAACCCCTGCTTGACACCTGATACTACTGTGACCTACTTATTTTACCCACTTACTGTTGATTGCCACCACATACAGTAGCTTACGACACAAACAGGAACCATAACACCTCGATGAAACCATTTGGGGGCTTAAGGTACAAAAAGTGTTTTACCTGCATTAAGCCTTGTGAAACAGCATGTCTGCATCAATCCAGAGCTATCCCGATGGGTTTTTTTTTTTTACCCCATGACCAGGTCATCGAATTTTCATTTACACCCATTGATTTCTGCCGCGCACTTCTCAATAATTGTCTTGGTTCTAAAGCTAATTCAGCAGATCTCAGGTCAGGGTCACAAGGTCCAGCTCACTTCTCTTTCAACCAGGGCAATCAGTGCTCGACTGCAGTCTGTGGCGATCACTTGAAGACCTTACACTGACGTCACCCTGCTGCATACAAACCAAAGCAGCCTAACATTTCCTCTGCTGTTAATTAATGCCGTCTTGCCTTTCTCATAAAATAAGAAGCTGCATTTTTGTGTGTGTTTAAGTTCAGTTTGGGTTAAAAACAACTCAATAGGACAAGCTGCCCTTTGGACTGTTCTAAGCACACAACTAATTATTGTTGGTTTAGATGGATACAGACCTACAGTATCACCTTGTGCTGTGGGATTTATTCAGGAGCTTTGTGACTTTTAGATGTGTCATGCTTTAAATATCTTCCTGTGTACAAACCTAAACATGTTACATTTTTATTCTCTTCTTACTCCTGATAAAACAGTTATTGTAAGGCAAAAATATTTGATAGGAAAGTAGAGATTTAACTTGAGGAATGTGACATTCAAACCTACAAGAATGTTTGAAAGAGTGCAATCGATGCTTCTGGGAAAATGTGTAAATCGGGGAAAAAACATTGAAATAATCAATTTTATCTTTGTGGGAAACTAAAGCAGCTCCATCTCTTAGATAATAAAAATGTGTGTCTTTGTACCTTACACAAGGGCTTTACATTTACCCTGGGTTATAACTTGATTTTGTGCCTACATGTGAAAAACAACTGTGGACAAAGGACTAAAATGTATCTTCAAAAAAAGATTCCATTGGCAACTGTTTTGAGTCTTTTTATTCAAATAATCTTCATCAGCAGATGGACTTTGACCAGTTTTAATGGAATGAAAAACAGAACATTTTCTAAATTCATCAGTGTGTTGTAGTTCATCAGTCTTCACGCCTCTTGTCTGAATTAAACTGCATGAGACGCTGCAGAGAGATCAGTCAGTCGGAGTCATGAAAGAACATAATCCCTCAGCACTAACCGTGCTGGTCATGTCCATTTGTGCCATGCCAGAAAATCCACTCATGGTGGTTGAAGTCATGCCTCTGAAGAAGGGTGTGACATCTTTTTTCCAATGCGTCACTCAGCGTCTTTACATCACCTCAGTGACTAGCCTGATGATCACACTGAAGGTTGACTCTGGAGTCTGGAGGAGGTGACAGCCTTGCAGCCTTCCTCAAGACTAAGTCTGAAATTTGGAAATAGCCTTTGGGCCTTGTTGGAGTCAATGCTCTACAGTAGCCACCAGCAGTGATGGTTCCACCTCTTGAGGCTTATTTATGCACAACGTTAGATAAATATACAGAAACAGACAGAACCTTATGTCCGCACTTTCATTTTGTTCATTTCGTCCATATTTGTGATTTGTGCACGTCTCCTGAAAACATACGTGTAAAATGGAGCAGTACCACCGGAAATCGTGGGGGGCAGTGTAGCCAATAGTTCACGCAAGACAGTCAGACATGAGAATGACATTTCTGAGGAGAGACATTTTGAGTTGGTGAAACACTATAGGCCCAGGAAATAGGACAAACAGATGCTTTTCCCTCTTTCTCAAGAGGTAATAAACCTTCTTCACCTTCGACCTGTTTGTTGCTGTCAGAAACTCTCAACTCTGCACTGCCCCCTAGTGGATGTATTGCTTAACAACCAAGCCAACATAAAAGACGCATGGAAGTATTTGTGGACATTGTTACACTGTTTGAGATATATCTTTTTGTACCTAATGGCAGCATACATTAGCTTATACCTTGCTCATCAGTACAGAGGTAGCTGTCAAAGTTTCACTGTGAAGGCTTTAGTGATACCTAGTGGTGAGGTTGCAGATTGCAACTGAATAACCCTGCCCTCGCCTTTTCTAAACATGTAGCAGAACATACAGTAGAGGGAACATAAAAACACGGAAGGCTGTTTCTAGAACCAATGTTTGGTTTGTCTGTTCTTGGCTACTGGAAAAACATGGCAGACAAGGAGGCTGACCCACTTTTAAAGAACTTATTCTGAGGTCATGAAAAAACAGTGATTCTTAATTTCAGGTGATTACACACTCATGTAACAACATTACCCATGCAAACATATTAAAGATAGAACAACCTAATTTAGACTGGACCATTACAGGAGGAGAAGGTGTTATATCAGGTCCCCCATACACGTTTTCCCAGACAGTCTGAGGAGCTGGCTGCTCTCCAGTCTAAATACCACCTCTTTAACCTCAGGCTATCGTCGCCCCTGTTATGCCCCTGTATGGCAGCAAAGTACATTCCACTACAGTGAGGCCAGTGATGTGTTGGTGTTTCCACACTTTCATTTAAACCCTGATGGAATGAAAAAAAAAAAAGGCTCCGGTGTCAAAAAGGCCAGGCACCACTGTTCTGCAACAAATGATCTGCAGACATTTTAAAAAGACTGAGACATAACAACATCAGATAAGTGATGTTTGTTTTAGTTTGTTTGGGAATGTTTCAGATGGGACGAGTGGACTTTTTAAATATCATTAATTTAAGCCAGGTTTCTCAGTGGTTTGATGGGCCAGAAGTGAAATGAATTTATGAGTTATGAAAACTCAGCTTCAAAGTGCTGGTGTAAAAATTGACCTCACATTTACATAGTTACCTCATTACTCAGCGTAAAAATAGAAACACTTCTTTTTCACTGAGCCTCTGTTCTGCAGCATTTTTAAATACCTTGATCAAAGTAATGTGGATATTCAAAGAAGGGAGGTTTTTTTTTCAGATCCAGTAACTGCTGCTGCTGCTGCTGCTGCTGCTGCTGCTGCTAAACACCCAGCACGTACATGTTGATATCATTCACAGCTCTCAGTCACTCACTGATTTATGAATTAATCATTAATACACTAAGTTACACTTCACAACAAACAGCAGCTGATACGATTGTAAAGTCAGGGAGTACATTATACTGTCTGAAATAAAGTTTGATCAAGTGATAAAATGTTAAAGGCCACACCCTGAAACAATGCAAAACACTCAAGGATATTACTCTGAATACATTACATTGAAACTGTAATGTATTCAGGTTCACTTAAAATGACTGATCAGAGCTACTGTTAATGAAAACCAAAGGATCTGATCGACTTTATTAACAGAGCTGTCTCAACTCTGTGTTACAGTTACGCGCTAATGGATAACAATTTTAAAATGAAAACAATTGTCCGATAATAAATTCAGCCACACAAAGCTATTTTAATCTGCTCGGCTTTAGGTAGTTGCACCTTCCTTGCACATTTCATGAACTATTGCTGCTGTCGTTTTTGCACGGACCTGCACAGATCGACCCCAGGAGGTCAAGCAACTGATTAAATAAGCGCCATTCTTTTCTAGAATCTTTTTATATAAATTTGGATCTACAATTTTGATATGGCCCCTAATGTCATCTATCCTCATTTAAGACAGCGTCCCTTGCATCTCCCTCTATTACTTTCCTTATCACAGCCGCCACAATTTATGCACATGAACGGAAAACCCTGCTGAGCAGCATCAAGGCTATGTTTCTCTGACCTGCCCTCACTGTTGTCATGACGACAATAATGAATGATGATGAAAATAATAGATTAAAAAACTTAAAAATAAAGGATAAAATGGATGAAGTGCATATTTACTGTATTGTCTTCAACCGGTGTAGTCGTTGCTCATGGATATACCATTTTAACCCTCTGTGTCAATCCTTCTTACACACAGTTTCCTGTTACCAGACTGTGAAAAAAAAGGGAAGTCTTTCTGTTTATCCTCCCTCTGCAATGGTAACTCCTTTTTTAGAAATGCTCTGTGACCTATTTAGTCCTGTTCTGTCTTGACCTCTGCGTTTTGACCCCAGACACCTAATCTCCTGTGTCTCACTCCATCGGGACGTGTCTGTTCTCTTATTATTATCATGTTTTTCAAATAATCTTTGTCCTTCATCAAACCTGGCCTGCTTCTTTTACTATCGTCTCCATCTCTGGCCTTTTTTTCAGAGACAGTTCATGTTGTACAGCTCAAAAAAAAATACTTGGCAGTGGATAGAGATACGAATCCCCCACCTTTCTCTCCTTCCATCCAACCAGAGATAACATGAAAAAAATCCATGCTTTTCCCCACCCATCGACATTCCCTCCCATCAGGTATTTCTCCTCCCACCTCTCTGCACTTTGCCCCCCCCCTTTTTAACAGACCCTTATCTCCGTGTCAGCTCAGGTTTAAAACAAGCAAACACAGCTCAGTGTGAGACTATAGTTACATGGAAAAACACTGACATGTTTACCATGGGTTGCCATGTACATTAATACCTCTTTTTTTACTGTTTGCTCAATACCAGTTTATCAAGAACCTCGCAGGAGATGTCAACACAGCTCACTGTTCTGTGAGTTAATCTAATCAGCACACAAGAGGCGTCTTTACAGTCAAATCGAACTTTATTTCAATATTGTCCAATTTATGTTAAAATCTAAAAAGAAGGTCCAACGTTTATTAGAAATTAACTGAGAGCATCTAAATGCACAGAGCAGGTGCAACACACACAACTGTATCTTAAGTTTTTCATGAAACCAGGAATTTACTTTCAAATCTTACTCCGATTTTTCCTAAACAAGTGGATTTCTCTCTTGTAACCTATTAACTCCAAAATTTCTACTTAAAAAATGTAAACCACAGCAATCAATACACTTCTTATCTGTTTCAGTTCATTCCAGTTCACAATGAATCAGCAGAGGTGTGATACTTGCTTGAGACAGGTATTTCAATCACACTGACCCATGTGCTCAGTTTGCTCTTTATCATTCATCATGTTTAAGTTTAGCATTATAGCTGTCTGGCACTGCACTTGTGGTGCATTCAAGGACACCCTGACGTCCAGTAATTGATTTTCTAGCAGAGCAACACTGGCAGATTAACAAAGCACAAACAGGAACACTGTGGAAATAAATATGGATTTTGTTGTTTCAAACCGATATCAGAGAGTCCCTGAATGCACCAACAGAAAGAGTTTGGCTGTGTTAGTTGCAGTAACGTTGCTGATAAAATAAAGACATTTTGCTGGATTGCATCTCTTAAGCAAGTTGATTTTTATAGTGTCCTGAAATGAACTGAAAGCAGTGTGGATGTGTGGAAGGTAAATCTAAAATCTGATGGTTTGCAGATATTAACTGCATATTTGATTCTAAGGTAGTGCCTTAAAGGATGCTAAACAACTGGAATGATCCTTTCAAAAATGTATTATGTACAATGAAAAGCGTAGTCATAAAAATACACGTAAAATGCTCTGTCTGATTGTCTAATCACTCAGTACAGTTGACGCTCTCTACAAGTGTGTGTCTCCTCAATGTGGAGTGTGCGTCGTTTATGTGCACATGTTGTCGTTGGTCCTTGCTTTTGGTCCAGTTTCGTCTTGAAAGCAGTCAGGTCACATTTTTCCTAATGGCCAAGGTAAGAGTCCGAGTCGCTTCATCCCCGCTGACTGGCCTTTCGGAGGACAGAGGGTGGAGTGTATCGGAGGAGGGTTACAGCGTCGCTCGGGTTCAGGGGTTGTTGTTGATAATCTGCCTGGGTCGTCCGTAGCCTGTCATGCCGGCTTGAGATGCTCCTTTATTTGTGCCCATTTGCAGGCCAATGACATTTTTGCCTTCACTCAGCTGCTCCTCTGAGAAGTCTCTCCTGTTCCCTTGGGACTTCCTGCACGCATACAAACACACAACCATAAAATCATTCCTCAGCAAGTAAGCTCCTTTTGTTTTACCAGTCTAGTTGCATTGGAAGGGGAAATGCTCAAACTTACTTATGGAACCAATTGGGATCTCCTTTGTAATTCCCATCATGCTTTGTGACTGCCAAATTACCCAGAGCCATCAGGGTCCTCTGGACAGCAGCCAGGTCTGAGCCTGAAGACATGCAACAATCTCAAATGAATACACAAGGAGACAGTGACACTCCAACCACTCAGTTCGGCTTCATTTCCTTATTTATGCTGCTGTAAATCTGCCAAACACTTAAAACTCTATTGTAATAACACAGATGAGTTCTGCTGGTCGTCTTACTTTCAAAGAGGTCTACAGTCTGGAACATGTCCGTCTTAACAACACCGTAGCTCTCCGCAGCTTTGAGGAACATGGAGATCTGCTCCATCTGCCTGAACGGCATAGTGGAGGTCTTGATGGACCTGATGGGCTTGTTGGCTCCGCACAGGCTGTTGATGAGCTCACACAGCACCTAGAGGCACACACAAGGAGGAGACCCTTTCATTAATATCAATGCAAAATTACAATTCTAGATATTTACGTTTATTCAATCCCAGCACTCACACATCCATCCTTGAGCCACTTCTGGAAGCCAATCCTGCCTGACTCAGGCTCCCCAACGCCAGGACCACACTGGGAGACGATCCACTTCACCAGTGTCTCCTCCAACTCCTGGTCGTATTTTTTATCAATCTTACTTTGAACCTCACGGGTCAGACCATAGGAAGGGCCGTGGTTTGCCATTCTGATCCTGTTGGAAGGGAAAGTTGTCTCTAGATTAGCAAATAGCTCAGCAAACTTCACTCCTTAATGTCCTTTTAAACGTAGATATTTAATAGATATGTAAACAGTCAGTTTAAAACCCTGCCCAGCTCACATCCACTGACCTGGCTGACTTTCAAGTAGGATTTAAGTCGCTCTCTTCCTGATGCGTGCATGCACTGTGGATGTGCTTCAGTCTGTTTTTTATGAGCTCCTACGACTTTCAATGTTTCAGAATGAACGTTGCAAAGTTTTGGGGCCCTTGCTTCATCCAGGGGCTTTTTTATTCTTCATGCAATCACGATTATTCAGTTTCTGGTGGAGAGGGATTCATCTCATCTCATCTCTCACCAGGAAGTAAAAAAATATATATTTCCCCAAATGTCAAACCACAACCTCAAGCTCTGCAGAGGTGCATGTGTGTGTCAACCTCTCTATAATACAGGAGGGCATATTTAATCAGGTTCTTTTTTAATTGCGCTGGTGTGATGTGTACTTTTTCTCAGTCAGTCAGAGTGAAAGTTTCTATTTACATTGCTCAGACCATGCCAGTGTCATTATTCTATATTCTCTGCACATGGAAATTGGAAATGCTAAGTGTCTTGAGGAATTATGACCCCACTGCTGTCTGTAAGTCATTATGGTCGGCCTATCTGACTTATTAATGCACTAAGAGCTTCCTGTTAGCTTCAACAGAGCAGCCCTGCTTCCTGCATCCTGTTTGCTTGCTCAGCTGTCACTTCCTTCCTCCCTCCCTAACAAAGGTAGTATATGTGTATACAGGGGTCAAAACAAACTTCTGATCTCACTATAGAAACAGCAAAAAAAACAAAATTCATCGAGCCTGTTAAATTGTGACAGAGAGCATTAGACGGAACGTGTTAACCACCATGATGCAGTTGCTGCTTTGACAGATTGGAATGAGTTACACAGGCAGTTACACATTTCAGTGACATTTGTTTTGCCTTTATATAGATAGATAGCTAGTAAAGGAGTGAGAGGAAATAGGGTGTGACAAAGGGAGAATGACATGCAGTAAATGGTCCGGCCAGCTGGGGGTCAAACTTGTGACCTGCTGCTTAAGGCATATGCACCCATGTGGAATATACACTCAATCTATTCAGCTATCGGCCACCAGTGCCATCTCTGAATGTCTGGCAAAGTAGATAACATATGAAGATGCTTATAGCAGATGGAAACCCCCTCCCCACCCCGTTCTTACTTTTCTTCATTTCCTGCCAAAGTATATGTGCATAAATGAGAGTTCCTTTTTTTTTGCAACGTAAAACAGCTGAACAAATCATGTAGGATTACATGCATCTGTTAAAAATACAGGCCAACTAAAAGATTTAATATAAAGCATATAGTGCATTTGTTCCCTAAGGCAAGAAAGGTGCACATATCACATCCCTTGCAAAACAGAGGCTTATCAGTGTTACACAATCTGTGTTGATAGTTTGACAAATCATCGCTGTGTCCAACAGCTCCGCACTGGAGCCCTGGCTGCCATAGATCACACTCTGTTCATTGTCTGAGGCTGTGCAGGAGAAGCCTCTTCCTGTCCATTAAGTTGTGCCAGAGCCAGTTTGTGACTGCAAGCCACTGATTGGATGTCACAAGATTAGCTCATGCTGCTGTCACTCTGCCAATCGCAGGACTGATTTTACTGTGAAGTTTGTAATAAAGACTGCAAACACGTGGAAAAGGTTAAACTGTTCAAACAGAGTGCATGTCCAAGTGTTTGACTGAGTAAACTTTGCGCTTTAGAAATCAGTTGGCAGCGGCCGAGCAGTTACTCTGAACATCTTGTAATCATAGAGCCACAGCTTCACGCCTCTGCATTAAAACCAGGATGTTGATAGTGGATGATTGTGCTGCTGAGGTTACTGACTTGATTTCAATATGGAAAATAATTATCCTGAATTTCATGCTGTGGTAGTTGTACAATTACAACCCCACCTCACCTTAAATCACCTGTGTGACCCCTGTAATGTGGTGGTACAACCACTGTAACCTGCTGATAACCAAATGTAACATAAAGGACGTGAATTTACACTTCCGTGTCTCATAGATCAGGGGTGGATCCAGGGGCTGGGCCAGCTGAAATCTGATTGGCCCCTTAAGTGCCCCTCTCCTGTAAATAGTTTTTCTTTGTCTTTTTAAACAAACTAGTCACTTACAACACTAACAATAAATATGTACATTTTGTTAAGAGTCAACATTTTCTGAAGTTTTTTGAAAGTACACAATGTGCTTGACAGAGGAAAAATATTCAGAATATATTCCAATTTCTGTGTGGCTTTGCTCAAGGATATAGAGTTAACAGTAAACAAGCAATAACTTAAATGTGCATCTTCAAGAGTTGTTCATGTTAGACATATACTCGGCCCCTCTGTGTAAATTGTGGCCCCTGTTTCAGAAAAATCCTAGATCCGCCCTTGTCCAAGTTAACTATGAATGATGTCATTGTTAAAATCAGCTGCAGGACAGATTACACACTTATTACACAATTAATAATTTCCTTCAATTCATGATAATTCTTCAGATAATAGTAAATAAAGAAAAAAGGATTATACAACTGCTTTATCACTGAAATACCATTTTGAACCTTCTGTAGTCCAGGAGTCTGAGTGCATGTGATCTTTTCCATTAATCTTCTGTTCTCCTTGATGCTGGCACTTTTTAATACTTGGCTGCTTTATAGATAAACCACTTCCCTCTGTGTTAGCACTCTAATCAGCTCCCATGTGCCATTAGAGGGTTAATGTGTCTCACCCAGATGCAACTCCAGCTGTTACTGTTTTATTTATCATTCTCATCGCTGGAACCAATTTCTTCTGTATCTTTCTTGCTGTTGCAACATGGCTGCACAAAACTACGTCATTAGGAGCTGCTTTTGTATTTTATTTTTTTTTTACAATTATTCAGCATCTCCACTCACTGAAATCCAATATGTGCCTATTTAGTTCAACAGGTTTGTTCTGAAACATTTGTGATACAAAGGATAAAGCAGTTATTGAACAGAGTAAAAGATCATGTTCCCCTTTGTCCTGCACAATCTCAACTGCTGCTGTAAATTCAATACTCTCTAGTTTACTTTGTTCCTGAAGATAAGAAGAACAGCACCTCCAGCCTCAGTTTCTGAGTTAACTCACAGTCCAACACACCCGCCTACACATAAAGTTCTACTTTGCTTCATAAATGTGACAACACATATGAAACGCACATGTTCTCCTGCTGTATCCTGAGCTGTCTGGAGCTGATGTTCAGACTATGTATTAAAAGTAGACAATGACATGTTATTACACTGCCCTGGCTCCAAGTTTAGGGGTTTCTGATGTGAAATGTGTCAGGAGCTGAACCTGCGCACGTTCCCTGAAACTGCGAGGCCTCACATTTTGCACATGGGCTCCTCTGAAGAGAACTGAGAGTAAGATAAGGAGGGTTTCACAACGCAAGACTTTACAGACTATATAGTGGGTAATTCAGAGGGCGTCTGAACTACATAGGAATAAGTAAACTTTAACTGAGCGTTCAGCCTCAGGCTCTGTATAATAAAACATTAGTTAATGAAAGTAGACAGCGAGGGTGGGGTGTGATACATCATACTTCTTTTTTCATGCAAGAGTGAACCACAAAGCACTGAAATTTTTTTAACTGTTGGTAGTTCCTCAGTGAGTGAGGCCATGAGTATTACTTACTTTGTGTAGTAGCTTTCAGGTGAGTACAGGTAAGTCTGAGCTGGTGTAGCAGTGCTTCTCCGCTCCTCTTCTTTCTAACGTGTACTGTACAGTAGTGCTAGCGTGAATGCAGCAAACACCCTTGACTGAAATATATGACTTCACCGCATTCAACAGAAAGAGGGAGCAAGAGAGAGCGAGAGAGATACGCCTTCAGGTCCTCTAATTTCACTCTATGACCCGCCCATTTGCTCTTTCTCTTTTTCCCCACTCAAATTGTAATTCCTTATTTAGGAGAAGGACGGAAAGGAAAAAGAGAGCATGTGACTGAGAGAGTTTGGTGTGGTCACTGAAAGGAATTCTCCAGATTCTCCCTCTATAGCGCCGCAGTACAAGAGGGGATTAGGAAGAGAGGAGGGAGGGATGATACAAATCCTCCAGAACAGTGAAGTGTGTGGGAGTTAGAATAATTAAAGAGCAGTACATGCAGGAGATTATTTATTGCCTTAATTCAAATGGGTGATGTTTGAGGCCTTGAAAAAGAATTTGTCTGAAACTGAACTCTGTGGAATGTCAACCCCTCCTCTTTGCTGGGCTTCATGGCAAAACACAATAAAGAGGAAGGAGGAGAACAGGACGTGACACATCACATGTTTTTTTACCCAATGGCACATAATCGGAATGCATGAGAGATAGAAGTGGCTCATGTCCTTGTGCATGGTGTCATTAGGGAAGACACAGCTGTACATCCAGACAGTTTTCATGAGAACCGGCAGAGACACTCACTCCAAAGCATTCCAACCCAGTCGACAGGAGCAAGTCGGGACGAAACATTGACATCAGGCGTGATAACACTGTGAGGACTTTGGTAATGTATGAAGTCATCGACCGAGCCCGTCAGTCATGACAATATAGGTGGTGAGGCATGCTGGGATAGGTTTGCGTCAGCCATGATTTGTGTCACTGCAACACCCACTTGTGAATGTGTCACCAGGGTAACGCCTGAGTTAATGATCAAAACCTGAGTATTCTTTGGACTGGGGAGCATTTCCTCTTTCCTGCTCACAAATCCTGTTTGTACATGAACGTTCAGTTAAGCTGCTAATGTCACTTTCACTGTCACTATTTCTTCAATGTACAAGTCTCATCGACTTTTGATTATGTAGATAATAACTGAATGAATAAATAAAATATGTTAAAAGTCCCACTCAATCTTAAAAACAACAAACTACCCTTAAACATCAGATCTGCAGAATCAGTGCCTCCGTGTAAAAAGCAGTTAACAAAGTCACATGAATAGTGTAACATTTTATTGATTTAAGTTTTCATAATTTTTACATTTTTATTTAGTTGTTTTATTGTTGTTCTATGGGTTTTTCTACAATTTTCTCACTTTGTACTTTTTTAAAATTTTTATCTTGTGAATCACCTTGTAAGTCTGGTTATATATGGATATATAGATATACTAGTAAAATTTAAAGCTTCATTAAATTGCTGCTAACACATTAATGCACATGCTCATAAAGACAGTTATTCTTAAAGAATATTACATGATAAATATTTCTGCCAGTGATATGTAGTTCAGATTTTGAATCCAAGACTTGGAATTGTCATTTATATTTTATGTTCTTTGGTGTTAACACTATAATTTAAGTAAAGGCTCTGCACTGGCAATGACCCTGAATACACAGTGGACTGGTTGACATGGTGGGTGAGGAGTTAGAGGGGTGTGACTTGGAGGAACGTTCAATCTCGAGCAGATGACGAACGACTGTGCGTGTACGTGAGAATATGGGAAACAGTTTCCAGCAAACCTGTAAATGGTGAAGATACACACAATTGAAAAATTCCACATGTGGGTGAGCTGTGAGCGAGGGGGGTGGGCACTGAACATTTCTTTTCAGTCTGTGGTGCCAGCTTGCTTTATCACATGTCTAGAAATCTAGGCTTTTCATGCTATCTCTAACATTAGTCTTTCTTTCTTGTGTTTAATCTTAGCATCTCACAAAACGCTGTGTTTGCAGGAAAGTGGGAAATTCAGTGTTGGCAGTGTTTTCATGGCAGATTAATCCCCCTGTGAGTTTGTACAGGCTGTTTCTGCACCACAGCAACATCTGGTGGCTCAGGGGGAGCAGCCTCTCATTGCTTCTTCCTTTCTGATGTAGTATTAACTCCACTGACTTGGTGCAAACAGCTAAAAGCAGCATTATATTCCACACTTAGCAAGAAATGTGTAACACATTATTTTGTTTCATGGGGAGATGTGTTGTCCTCGTCATGAGCACAGATTTAACTGGTTTAATTTTATTTTCATGTAGATGGACTCGCTGCTGGGTGCTCATGACCCTGCTGGCAGCTGCTAATTGGAAAAAGAGCTGCTCAGTGGACACAAAACTGTTTTGTCATCATCAGCATTTAGCATCTGAAGCTGTTCCACAGAAAAGAAACCTAATAGATGGAGAAGAAGAACTGAGCACCAAGGGAGGATGTTTGTTGTTTTCAACCTCAGATTGAATAATTCAACGCTAAACCTATTTTGGGTCAAAAAACAAACAAAAAAACAAAAAAGGTCCTGATGTTCTACAAAATCTGTCTTCACGCATGGTTTCTGACTCTGAGAATTATAAATAATTCAAGTAAAGTGGTCAGAAAATAAACAGATAAATAAATAGAGTTGAGCTCTATGAGGAGGGTCCGTCGGTGAAGCACTTTGGTTCAGACTGAAATAGCTCACCATTAAGATGTGCTAATCAGAAAATGCTATCACGCTAACAAGCCAAAACAATGAACATGGATAACGTTATGCTTGACTGTATGTTAGCCTTTAGTTCATGTGCCTGCAGATCCGCTGCTGTGAAGACAGATTTGAAGATTGGACACTTCTAGTTGATACCGTTTTAGAAAATCAGAAGGATAAATCATGGACAATTGTGATTTGTGCAGCAACATACTTTAAATTCTTTTATTTTTATTCTTTATTAATCAACTGAAAAAAATTAATCGAACAACAGTGTGACTTCAATACTTCCAGACACGAAAGATGAAAGGATAAAACTGTGAAGTCTGAAAAGCTACAACATCAGAAAATCCAGAGCAATCTAAATCACACAATATAAGTCAGTCACTGCTGTGATCTTAATTTCAGTTTGAAAACTAAAACCCTGGGACACAATTTCCTCATAGTTTTTATTTTTAAACTCAATTTTAGCCGATTTAAGATAGAAATGTACTCACAGTTGTTTAAGTTTAACCTCGGCAACATCTAATCATTAACACTTCATGTTACATGTACATGTAACATCATGTTAATAGTGTGTGTGTTTTCTAAAAGTGCATGTTTTAATTTGTAGTTGAATCTCTGCGTGTGTTTATCAACACAATAAAAGTAATTAAGTAAAATTTTTTGGAAGCAATCCAAGGATGCTGCTTAATCCTTTACCCATTGAAAATATGTTGACTTCAATTATTATGTTCGGCAGAGGACTGAGCTCCTGATTATATTTCTTTAATGGCGTCTGTGGCCAAATAGCAGCTTAAAACTGAATGCTAATGAGATTGAGTAGGAGGTTCGCAAAACTATGTCCCTGCAGAGTAGTCAATTGAAAGTATATTATTATTATTATTAATATTACCAAAGTTTCCTTTTACCTGTTTTGAGAACATTGCATATATAAAATGTCATCCTGCACTTATTGAGGTTCACTGAAAAAGAAAATTGTTGGACCAATCTAACAAAAATATTAAATTGGTAACACGCAAATTAATTAAGTTTGTTCAACTCAAGTTATGCTAATCAGTTAATATTTGTGTTACCAATTGAAATACTTTTTTCAGTTGGTAATACATTTTACAGCAAATGGAAAAACCTACTATAAGGACAAATGATAAAGAAAACTGTCTGGATCTCACAGCTACCTGCACAATGTTTTATTAATAAACGTACAACACTTTGATCACCTCCTTATCTAGACATGTCATGCACACATCCACAGATCAGCAGCCGTGATCTGTGGGAGGTGTGATGATGAGATATGGGAATGAATAAAGAAGTCTGGATTAAACTGTGGGTGATCCGGCAGTCCTCTGACCCTTTAGGACAAAATACCAGTGTGACACCGCAGGAAACATCTATTTACACTCCTCATTTATTCACAACAGATTTTCCACTTTCCCTCTGTGGATTCAATCTTTACCAGGTGGCAACTATATATATTTACACTGGTGTTCTCATATAAGACAAATACAACCAGCTCAATCCAGCTGTTTGAGTGTTGAGATGAATAACACCTGTACAGTATCTGGAGAAGAAACAATTTAGATAAACTTGATAATCTGATAATCACCATCATGCAGGGTTCGTTGTCGCTAATGCAAACTGTAGTGTGTAGTTTTGTCCTCTTGAAGGCGCTGTGTTTCAGTAGGATGCTTTGGCCCCTAAACACACCATTCACTTTGCTGACACTCAGCTTCCAAACTCTGACCCCTGAATGTCCATATAAATCCTGCTCTGCACCTTCCCCCCTCTAATAATGCTGTGAGACAGCAGCCGGCTGGTGCAGAGAAAAAGAGCTCTGCCCTGCGATGGATATGCTGAAGGTGGAGATGTTGTGTGTCAGTCACTCATAACAGCAATTGGCTATAATTACTTGGTTATAACCATGTTCAAATCACATTATACACCCTCTTCCTTAGAAACATGAGCATGCCTATGATTTATCTAAATACATTCAGAACCTGCAGTGGGAACAGCTGCATTCTGCTATTCTACTACCAGATACTACTGCTTGAATTGCACACAGCTGATGAATTCCAACTACAAGCTATCTGGTGCAATTACAAAATAAGATTAGACTTCCAATTCATGTGACCTCTGTTTATTGATCCAGGAGGCAGAGGTACATGCAGGGGTGGTACATGGTGACCACTGTGCAGAAACGATCCTCTGTGCACTCAGGTCATTATTTCTGCACAGGAGCTGAGTCCAGCTGACCCTCATATCTTCAGGCACAATTAAATGTTGGGTATATAGAGCATTATGTGCATCGCTGCTGCCCTCATCCACCTCTGAATCAGGTTTGCTCGGTCCTATTTTCTAAAGCAGCTTGGTACAGGCATATACTGAAAACTAGATGGACATTTAAAAAGAGTACATACATCTGC